GACACTTTATTTGCTAAAAGTTAAACAGAGTTTATTTTGTCTAACCTTGTTGCAAATGGTTTTAATTTTTTTAATTTTTTCTGATGAGACAGTTGATGAGAAATTCCAGTAAAGGTGACAGGAATTCTCTCTTAAGGATCGTATAGACAGTACCATCTGGAATGAGGGTAAAAATGTGGTCCTTATCATTTTCTGTCACGTAGCTGTGTTCCAGTTTGTACAGTGTGTATACAGTGTATCTATGTACATTTATAAATCCTATATCATATACTCTATCTTTAAACTACCAATGGAAGAGGATTACAAAGTTTTAAACGTTTTGACAAAACATTCTATTAACATTCATATTTAACGGTGACTCTTCCTCTGTAACTCGGCACATTTTGCTGTCATAAGTTTTATCTCTGTTGCCGTAAACATTTAATTTAACAAGTACAAAGGAAACCTCTGTTGACATAATCAAGCAATTTCGTTTTACGATGTGGGGAGGTTCTTTCTTGACATGAATCACTGGTTTAGCAACGGCACCATCTGTGCTCTGTTTATCATTTATTATAAAATCATTTTCAATATGTAATGTTTATTGTCATTTCTTGTTTACTTTAAGGTTTCATATCCTTTTAAACAGGGGCAGGAGCTGCACATCTCCCTAGCCTGGGGAGCTGCTTTGTCTTGGATGTCAGGGTTACCTGTGGTGCCATAACCTTTGTTTTACCTAAATTTCTTGCTCAAGGACATTGGAGTAGTGGGGTTAATTTGTGTAAAGGCTTTGAATGTATGATCGTCCCCAGCCTAGGCCAACCCCCACATTCCTCTGTTAAGCTGTCAAAGGTCACTATGTCCAGTTATAAGCTCGCTTTTAGTTTCCAAGGCTACCTCTTGTGTTGTTTCTCATTTACGTTTCTTAAAGTTGGCAAATTGTAAAATGCTTCTTTGTGTTGCTTCAAATGTCACCAAAAGAAGTTACAGAAAAAGGTCCATATTAAAGCATATGTAAGAGACTATACCGGGATGGCCCTTATTTGCCTCTTACTATGGGATCACACTTTAATCATTATCCTGTGAGTTGGCACTGCCCCTGGTGGCTGCCTGTAGCATCAGCTCCTGTCGCATCTTCTAACTTTACTGAAATTTCCCAGCATGGGATTAATAAAGTCTATCTATCCATCCATCCATCCATCTACCCACTCACCCACACATCTATCCATCCATCCATCCATCCATCTACCCACTCACCCACACATCTATCCATCCATCCATCCATCCATCTATTTAGGATGAAAAGCACATTTATTTTCCCATATAAAGTCACGTCCCCTCTTGACTGACTTGGCTCTTTCTCTCACATTTGGAAACATGTCTTTGTTTCTCTTTAGGTTAGGACCAAACCGTGTGTCTGCATAGATTGAGAGAGAACACGTGGCTGATGTTTTTTTTCCTCCATAGAAAGTAGGTCTGCATTTCTGTGTGAATACTGCTGTGCTTACAGTACAGAATGTAAGACCAATTGGAGCCTTTGAAGGCCTAATACCACCTATCATAGAGGAATGTCACTCTGAGTCCACCCCAAATAAACCCGTCCTGGAGCCTCAGTACAAACTCACTGCTCTGAGCACCTACAAAATTGGATGATTTGAAAAACCTTTTTTCCCACAATGGAGCCTGGGAAAGTGTCTCACACAGATGCCCTGACCGTACAGTGTTGCTGTCTGTAGATTACAGTGTGTTGTTGGAGCTCAGGCCCATTCAAGTAACAGAACAGTCTCCAGTAGGTTTAACTGTGCTGGATGACAGCAGACTGCAGATAATAATCACTGTGATATTTCTATGATTGACAGGCAGCCATTTTGGTGCACTCGACGAGCTCAGCTTGTTAGGTGTGTTTGATTTTGTAGAATGCTTGGATACACATGGTGTATGTGTGATTTGATAAATTCAAAGTCATTTTGATATCTCTAAAATTCATAAATCCTGGTTCAAAACAGTTCAGTATAATTTTAGAATGGAATGTGGTCCATACCAAGAACCAGTTCTGCTAGGATTTCACGGCTTATATGACCATCCAAAGGTCATAACAACACACGGCACTAGTTTTGTTGTCATATTTTGATACATTAACATATGCCAATTTATAAGGAAACACTTTATATCACCTCCAAAGATAATGTTTTTAATGGGTTTAATGAGTTCACAGGTAATAAATAAATTCTCCATCTTGGTCTGAGACTCTCAGAGTCTGAGAATTCAGTTATGATGATTATGGTTTAGGTAACTGAGCGTGGAATGTTATGAAGTTTCCTCCACTGGGACGGTGAAACAACTTTTTGTGTTGTTTTTTTTTCTGTGTGAACTTCTCACCCTCCCTGCACTCACCAACCTCTGGACTGCAAATATATATAGAGCGTGTCCTCTGTGAATCTGCAGACTGGTATTATAAAGGATCACTTAAGTAGCTGTAATAAACAGGTTGGCCTCACACAAACCTCTTTCTGTTGCTGTTGATGTCCTGTAGTAAAGGCCTGTTGCAAATCCAACATTTGGCATTTTTTAAGCATGAATGCAGGTCATATATCACATATCCCAACTGGATGATCAGAATGTGTTTTGGATTCTCCTCAACCTCGAGGCCTTCAAGCGTAGAAATCACAAAGGAAAGTACAATCCGTCCATTTATAATGGTGTCATACTTTCACACAGGCTTTTTCAACTTTTTATTTTTACAGTCATTCCTCCTGTGACAGGATCTCTATCTGTCCATTCATCTTCTCGTGCTTACCTTTGTCAGGGTCATGGCGAAGCAACCATTGATACCTTACTTCATAGCTGCACTTAGTGTGTCCAATAAATCTGAAACCCTGTCTAAAGTATGGGCTGGAACGGAAAGTGACAGAAAAGAAAAACACACAAGTAAATTCCCGTAAGACTCTGACTCTCAGACTCTGAGCTTTATCACTGCACTACATGACAACATAGGCCCCTCGTACAGTACAAGACATTCTGTACTTTTGATGTTTTGATTATTTGCTCCTAATGAGAATAGGCTAAAACAAAATATTCACACTACGGGTGGAAAGAAATGATGAAAATCATAATACCATATCGATATTCTACAGCATAGGTGTCAAACTCAGGCCCACGGGCCACATCTGGCCCCTGTTGTAATTATATTTGGCCCGTGCGATGAATGGTTGAATGTAGAACGCTGGGTGAAATAATTTAAACAAAATGTAGAAGAATGAACTTCAACAGAAATTACCGTGAATTTGTTGCAATGCATGAAGCAGAAGGACTGACATTGGATTCTAAAGCCCAGTGGGCCTACTCTGGCCCACGGGCCATAGTTTGCCCAGGTCTGCTATACAATGTCACGCAGCGAGATTTATATTCCTCACATCACATTCAGTTCATCTGGAGTAATTTCACTAAGAACTACTTATCATTATTATTGTTAAGCTAATGTTTCCAGTGAGGAACTCTCTTGAAATCATTCCCACTGAGTACAGATGAATATTTATATAAAGAAGTAATGGCTAAATATTATATACACCCGCTGAGTCTCATCTGCACATTTGAATTATTCACTTTTGTTTGAAATGTTTCAGCTTTTTAAAACATGTTCTCTGTTTCACCTTGGAGAATGACAGAGTTTGTTTTAGAGTTTTCCTCCAGGCAGGAGTCTGTAGGATTCATCTCAGCAGCTGAGAGTCTAACTTAACATCCAGGGAATATGCAAATATCAGCCAGAAGAAGTGCAGAATGACAGGAATGTTTTCTAATGAAACTGCGTCCAGTTTAATTCTGTAGACATCTGCCTTTTTATGTAGGAAATACGTGTTTTAGGTGAAGAATTAAATGTAAACAAAAGGAAATGTTCAAATAAAGATTGGATTATGGGCTTTCAGATTAGCTGTTGGATTTCTGGGCCACTGTAGGAAAGGAATTCAAAAATGTAGAAGGTAATGCAACAGGATTTTAATTGGATTTAACTCTTGTATTAACCCACACGTGCAGTTAGTCCAGTTTCTACGTGATGTTGCTACGTGTTATTGTATAACTATCAAAATTGTCACACCGATTTTCTTGGAATTTCTGTTTTTGTTGCCATTCCAGAAACAAGTGTTTTGATGTTAGTGAACGTATCGATGTCTCAGGAGGCTCAAACCAGTCATTTCTATAAACTGTATGTCTATAATTTTCAGGAAGCACAAATGTGAAGACAAGCTTCCTTTGTGCTTCTTATCAGTCCTAAGTTCCTGACCTCCCATAAATCTGTCGTCCTCCAGACACCAGTCTGCTTTCTCTCCTACTCTTCCTGCCTCTCCCACTCCTAGAACTGTTGACTTTTTGGGGAAACATCATGGGAATTGCCTCATCAAACTCTGTGTGTCAGGGCAGGTGTTGTTCAGGTCAACACATCGCCTGTGGATTTTATATTGTGGTGTTTTCACACCACATTAGAGGTGTGTGTTACCACACATGGCATCCAGTCAAAAAAAAAAGTTTTATATGAACCATATGAACCATCCTCTGCAGTTAGCTTAAAAAAATCAGTCTCATTTATTCACACTTGTTAATTTCACTAGTTTCTGGCACATTACTGACATACACAGTGCAGCCCTGTAGGTGCCGCTGATGCACTTTAGGTTTGTTTGAAAGCCGCAAAGAAGATGCACAGGAGTGACATCAGCGCAGAAGGAAGTTTGATTCAATGATTTTTTTTAACCATAGAACTATGGCCCAAATCTTGTCCGCCAGCCACCTTGTACTGATCGGGCGTCGACGTCTATTGGGCCAACTACAACTACAGGCCGGTCGTCCTGACCTCTGTGGACCCACTGCTGGACCCTGCACAGGTCACATGCTGAGCCGACCAGTCTGAAGTCTTGGACTAGAGAACATCATTTCCCAGGAGCTGAACATTAGCTCTTTCTCTCTGTTTGACAAACAGGCAGCCAAGGATTTACTTTTTCAGGCAGCTAAGGTAGTTCATTCTGTCAAAGACCCTTCCTCACTGCCATGATTTACCTGCACGCCTGGAGTTGTGCAGGTAAATCATGGCTGACCCTTCCCACTCCGATCATATCCTCTTTGTGAAAGTTTGACAAGAGGCTGCGGTCCGTCCGGACAACAACCTCACGCCCACATGATGACAGACCATCATCGGTGGTGAGTCTTACTTAGATCTTCACCATGTGTGATTATTTTAAATGTTATTTCTAAGGCTTACTTTTTCTCTTTCTAATTCTATCTTAGGACAGTGCACCAATACACCACACCACATTCCTTGCGTGTGTTAAATGTACTTGGCCATAAACCACGATTCTGATCGAAATTGAGCTAGAGCCAGAGTTTTCTGATCACTGCAGCACCCCGAGCCAATAGAATGAAATCAGTGTGAAACATTTTGCTCCTGAGCACAGACACCAGAGATAATCGTGTTATAATTTCCCAGTACAGGCAAAACACTGAAGCAGCTGACAACGATCCAGATGAAGGGGTTTAGAGAGAAAAAATAAATCCTGGAATATTTTGAGGTTTCTTTCCAGAATTTACTAAAAGTAATTCAATTAAGATTTTAAAAATTACATATTACTTTTTAAATGGATTCAAATGCAATCACTTTCAAATCCTCTTATCAATGTGATTAATTTATAAATCCCACCCTTCAGCCCTCTAACAAATACAAATACACAGTCAATGCACATGTTGTCATTTGCACACGCTGCGGGAAAAAGTTTTTATTTCACTGACTCGACTCAAGCTTAAAATAGCATCTCAACGAGACGGAATATACTGTTACATCTGATAATTTGTTGCAGTACATGACGAATATAAAAGGCTCCTTTATATGTTCAGTTGTTAATTTGACTGAAACATCCAACAGCGACATCTTCACAATATGCTGGAAAATGAACACGTGTTTTCTGTAACAGCACTAATTCATATAAATGTTTGTGCTCCATTGTGGAGGATGATTACATTCTCATTTATTTGAATAGACCTGTCTCTCTGAGCTTCACTTAATGACACGGCCGCAGGGCATGAAGACGTCTGGTCTAACCAGAGCGTGTTGTAGCTCCACCACTGGTGCAGGTGTTAGGAGCAGGGACTCATCCAAGAATTTAATAACATAATGAATGACTTATGCTCAATTCACGTCGACAACAACATGACATTTGGAGCTGTTTGCTCCAGACCTCAGGTTGCACTGCACGATAGCAACAGTAGCTACTGTACCACCTACCAACAGTTTTGGATCAGTTCACCATCTGCCACTGTTTCTAAATGTAGATGGATCCAAACAGGAAAAAGAGTAAATATCTAAAATAAAGGGCTGATTGTTTACTGTCTTTACACTGGCACACTTGAAGTAGCCTCAAGGCCACGTTAGCTGTCAGGCTGATGAAGTGATTCAGTGAACACAGCTCAGTAAATCAGCCCGAGTCTGCTGATGTTCAGTTTAATGACACACCAGTTGACTAACATCCAACTTTGCAACAACTTTCTGCACCCCAGCACTGGCGCTGTTGCCACTGGATGACAGCTGCAGCTGGTATTTGATAAAAGAAATATACCACATAGGAAAATGAAACGCTCACACATTGGGTCTGTTTGTGTTTTGACCTGAAGAAGATCCTCGTAATGGAATTGCAAAAATAAAAAAAAAAAGCCTGGAATGTGTCCGGGTCGAATCGACGGTTGACCTCAGGCAGGATTAAGAAGTTGATCTTCCTCATATTTAAAATATCCAAAGTGCTCACAGAGTGTATTTAAAAACATGCCCATGTCTCAGCCATTAAGACCTTTTTCAGCACAAGAACAAATTGATTGCCTTAGGCTGTCATATTGTCAATATGGGCAGTCCAGTCTGCCCATAAAACAGTGCACATACCTGAGGCCTCCCCCACTTATTATTATAATACACACCCACAGCTGAGACAAATGAGACAGATTGGTGAGGAGTTAACGTGCAAAACTTCTCAGAGTGAAAAATATGCTATAGATCTTTCAGAGCGGCAGCTCCTACACTGATTTAAAACCAGACCACCAACACACTCCAGTTCATCCTATGGCAGGTTTTTCTAATTGCGATCATCTATCTACACCTTGATGACAAAAGGCAGTAATTGACAGAACAGCAGCGCCTGACCGTTTACATTGACGACAGAGGTGACTGCCGCTGATGTGGAAACATCTGTTCATCAACTACTGTGACAGTTATAACAAACTGGGAGGTGCATGTTCTGCCAGAACACCTGAGTGAAGAATGAGGGTTTCCTCAGGCCATACAAACCCTGCTGCAACCTGACACGGACTGTAACCTTTAGAGAAAATCCAACCCAGGAAACATACTCCGTGAAAGAAGAGGAAGAAACATGTGATAAACCTATGGTCCTGATGCTTTAAAGACACAATAATCACTAAAAAATTCAATTGAGTTTTAATTTACAGCATATATTCACAGACGTCAGTCCAGTCAAAGGGCAGAGTGAAGAGTACTAACTAATTTGTTGTTGTCTATTCAAGAGAAATTTATATATTTTTAAAAGATAGATACTTGTTGTCCAAAGTATTATGATAATCCTGTTTGTCAGTAGTACCTGTGAATAAAAGTGGTCTTTGGTTTCTTTCTATTACCACAATACTTGTCTGGTGCCTGTAATTATCAAGGATTTTCATCAGACTCAAGGCTTTGATGATGCCCGTCACAGCTGCAGGAAATTCTTCTCTTATTTCAGAGTTAAAAATATCAATGTCTGAACAGCTCACATAAAATCATCAGCCTCAGTTGAACGGTACATGACCGTAAGAAACAAACAAAAAAAAAAGATACATTCTGCAGCACAGTGTTAAATCACTCATATCAGTACTGCACTTTTATATTCAACTCTACAGTGATATGCTCAATGTCCCAATGTTATGTCACAGTGGAATTTTTCATCAGACTGGGAGTTGTCCTTGGTATTGTATTTGGGGCGACGTTTTTCTTCAGAAAAATAAGCTGTGTTAATCTCAGCCTGCAGGTTCGCTGCACTCCCCTGCTGTCTTCACACTCATTTTGTTGTGTGGATCAGGCATTCTGCACAACAAAGTCTTTTACCCTGGATTTCGTCTCAGACGCGGGTAATAACTGAGCTCCATGGTTGTTTTCCTCAGCTGTTGAAACTGTAACACCATGCTTTAAGGGGAATGCGCTGCAGGTAATCCCAACAGTCGGGACTAAATGTTTTGCATTTTTGTATTTATTTCAGATTCATTCTTTTTAATTGATTTTGTTGAATATATGAAATCCCCTGTTTTTCTGCTTTTTGTAAAGTAAAGAAAAGTCTCTTAAAGGTTAGGCATGAGAAAGACCTCATCTTTAAACCAGCACTGGTCGTGGCTTAGATCGATGATGCTGAGGTTTGATAACCCACTGACAGCATCCGTCCGACTAGTTGTAAGCTGTAGAATGTTCCTGTCATGTTCCATCTTTGTCCTTTGTGTGATAAAGGTCAGCACTCATTGTTCCCAAAGTGCACTGCCCTGACAGTGGGGAATGTGCACTGCACCCACTCTTTAAGGTCATCTTTAATTACACCAAAATAGACTGTGTGTTGTTTCGTGACCGATAGTTCAGCAGCCTGAGCTCCTGGGTATTCCTGACAGCCTGTTTGCCTGACAAATCTCTGAAGAAGCTGTGTTTGGCCTCAGATTTCATTGTACACATAGCAGCCACAGGGCCTCAAATTCCTGAATGACTATAAGGTAATGCTGAAGAAAGTGGTGTTTTGGTAGCTTTTTTTTTTTTCTTCTCCGGGAAAGCCTCAAGTAATATCCTCCAGTCTTCTTTCAAAATCAGGCTGTCAAGATCCTAGTCTTTGAAAAGAACTGCAGACATGACCGTTGACATTTTTGAATGACATAATTTACAGTTACGCATTTAGCAGATGCTTTTATCCGAAGTGACTCACAGAGGAGGATTAATATTATCAAGCATGTTCCTCTGGCAATCGAACCCAGGACTCTCTCCTCTCTGCGGTAGACTAACAGTGCTAACCGTTACACATTAGTGTCAGTCACAGAGACAATAAGCATTTTCTGCAGATGTAGCTACAGACAGGATGGGCAGTTGCCCACAGGGGGCATCTTGTCAAAATAGCAAAGTCATAGAAAAATATCAGATACAGTAGGATGTTACAGTTCAATCACAGTTGTCACATGACATCCATTACATCATTGTAGAATGGGGGTGGGGGGTCTTTTAGTTCTGAGTAATCTATAAATGAGGTGGGTTTTATCGTAGGTATCAAAGGTAAAGGCACCACCTGCTGGAATAACATGAACAGGGGTCAGTAATGCTGAATATGTGCAGCCTGAACTTTAAACTCTGCATATACATAACTTCACCCCTGGTCTTGTTGTGTAAACATCAGGCAGTTATGGTATGAAGAAGATGGAGCGAGAGAGGGGGGGTGCGGGTGGGGAGTGGGTAGGTGGGTTTACCTTTTGGAAAAAAAGCCCCTTATAATATAATAAAATAATCTAATCTACTGAGGCCAGAACTGATCTGTTGCACAGAGGCTAAAAAGCCACAGATGGCTCGGGGGCCAAAGGTTGATGGCTATTGCTATAAACCCACAAAAAGAGAGGGTTTGGGGGCAGAAAAGACAAATGGTGATTTATCTGTGGCTTTTTGTAGCAGAGACAAAAAAAATTCCAGTGTAGAGCTTTCTATCCACGAATAATAACGCGTGAATTTACCTGAAGTTTTGTTTCACTTGAACAGATATGCACAATACGAAGGTAATACGCTACGGCAACTACAGGAGGACAAACCTCCCAAGTGCGCGTTTTAATCTCCATAGAAACGGCTGGCCTCAGACAAAACGTCCAAAACTTCCGCCAGTAATGACGTCGTAAACATCGTTTACCGACGTACTTTCGGCAACCTATCTCTTTGAATTGGTCTCACCTGCTGCCACTGCGCGGTGTGTGCAGCCATGTCCAAGAACAAGGTAAGAAAGAAGAAGAAGAGAGAAAAAAAAAGGTAATGATGTATGAGGTCGTTCTGTTTACATAAAAAAAGCGTTTCCTACACCGGAAAACGGAATGATTTTCACCCGAAAACACAATAATAAAAACGTATTTGATCACCTGTAGATTCTTATGCGATCACGTATCCAGGATGTACTGGGAAAACGGCCTTCTGTCACACTACATCACGCTGTTGTAAAAAAAAAAAAAAAAAACCCTGCAGAAACTCTATACCCCACACGGATCCTGGAGCCGTCAAGATTTAAAGTTCTGATTAAATACGGTGTAACTCAAGAGCAATAATGCTTGTCCTAAATCGGATTACGCGTCTTACTTTAATTAAATGGGCCTTGTATGTTTTCACTGTTCTGAAAATCTGCAATGATTGGCCGAGTGCCCCTCGAGGAACTTTCTTTTTTTAATCTCAAGGAAGTCTGATATGTTGTGGGATTAAAAAAAAGTCCAGGCAGGCGTAGGGATGAAGCCCTGGGCCAAAAGTCTACTTTATTTGTCCATATAAAGAGGCTTCTCGTGTTAAACGTTCCACACAGTAAAGTACCAGCTGGAGATACTCCGGTTTAAACAAACGGACTGTGTTGATGACTGAAATGTTAACCTTGTGCTACTTTTATAACCTGTGTGCAGACATCTGGACACAAAGCGTCATCTGATGCTGTCAGAAGTGAGGAGAGGTGAGTGTGTTATTTTTTTAATTGACTGCAGACAGTTCTTTAAGGTCGTCATCAATCCATATACAATATAAGATATAAAATAAATAAAAGAGAAAAACAATCCGAACGAATGATCCGAACACTTCCTCTTAAAGAACTTTAATGTGTGTTTTCACAAAAACAGTCAGAGGCATTATATATAAGGTAACAGATTAACTGATAAACTAACAAATTGTTATATAGTCATGTAGTTAACTTTCCCATACACTGTACCTTGACCTAATGCAATATACTGGCACATTTTCTAATTACACTAGATATTTTATAAGATTATTTTGAACCTTACTCTAGAACATAAGACTGGTTACATCAGAGCTGGCGTTCGTCCTAAAAACAGCAATAAAATACGATGTATCGTCTCAGAGTACAGGAAAAATCCCAACGGGCTTATTTTTCGTATAAGATTTTTACACACACCTGGTCGGGGTTCAATTTTCAGCTGTATTCCTGTCTATAACTATCCCAATAAACGTGAGGGGCTGGTCAGTTAGAGACTTACTTTTTCTCTTTGTTTTTTTGAGAATTTTTTGAAAAAAGTAATTTGTTTTGTATTTGTGTACTTTGTGCATCTGTGTGTTTGTACTCAGACTACAGTACATGTCATATCCAGCTAAGAGCAGTATGCCATGTGCAACTTAAAACCTCTGGAGTCATGTGACTATTAAATTTAAGCATGTTTCAGTAGTTTTTAAACTAACTTTTTTTTTTTTTTTTTTACACCTGTCATCTATGACATTTATATGCAGGCCTACTCTAGATATCTACTCTGGATATCAGTCTCCATGATGACAACCAAGTTTACTTCATCTTTAAAAGTATTTGCTCACCCATTTTACAGTGTGTCTTATTGCTTCCTCAGGGTGGGAAGAGCTTGTGTGCGTTACAAATGTGTGCTGCCAAACAGCATCCAGAGTGTCCTGCGCCAGAGACCGGGGTGGGCTGAGGTCAAAGAGTGAGTCCGTTTGTTTTTCTGACATGTGTGTTGTCATTCACACAGTCATAGGTCTTCTTTATCTCACAGTGATGGAGAGTGGGATTTGAACTGGTGTGATGTCGGCTGGCTCAGGGAGAATTACGACCACTCCTACATGGAGGAGCATGTAAGGATAAACCACTTTCGCAATCATTATGAGGTGAGGAAGCGTCACTGCGGCATCGCTGCAAGCATACGCTGTATTAGGGCTCCAACTGTGTGGTGTGTAGACATCGTGTTGTTGTTAACCAACATTAACCAACGTTGTGTGTGGTTATTTGTTTTTTGAAACAGTATTGGTGTAAAAGCTCTGCTCACTTTCTGTTTTCTGGCTGTAATTAGTACATCTAATCTATCTATTAATACTATTTTTTTGGTTTAATTTATCTTTATCTTCATTGTCTTCTATTAGCTAATGAAACACAGCGTCAGTTTGAAGAATTTTTGTTTAATAATCCTTTTGGATTAAAGCATCTTTCTGTTAATTAGAGGAAAATAAATCTGTCTGAAAGCGTTATTCTGCTTGGTTTCATCACTGTGGTCTGGATTCAGTTGCATGTTTTCCCACTGTGCTGTCCCCTCCAGTTGATTGCATATGTGTTCAACTCAACCTAAAGCATCTTTAAAGGCACTGGGTTTTATTTGAGTACACAAATGAAAATACTCATCAGTTTGGTTTTTGAACATTTCTCATCTCTTTGATGTTTTTTTTAAAGCTGACTCGCAAAAATCTCATGGTGAAAAACCTGAAAAGGTACAAAAAACTCCTTGAGAGAGAGGTTGGCCCCATGGAGGCATCAAGGTGTTCTTTTTTCCCATGCACCTTTGCACTTCCCAGTGAGTACCATCTGTTTGTAGAAGAGTTCAAAAGATGTCCTGGCAGCACCTGGATCATGAAGCCGGTTAGATGTTGTCACCTTAATATTCAAATCACTCAAGACACTCTCAGGTTTTAGTTTACAAAATATTGTAAAACACATTTTTCTTTTGTGCCTTTTTTAGGTTGCAAAATCTCAAGGTAAAGGAATCTTCCTGTTCAGAAAACTGAAGGACATCATGGATTGGAAAAAGGTAATTTCCTCCTTTAATAATAATTAGAGAAAGTCACTGTTTCTGACTGATTGAAACTGTGTTCTCACAGGACGGCGGTCGCTCAGAGGAGCAGAAGGATTCCACTCAGGTGGAAAACTACGTGGCACAGCGCTACATAGAGAACCCCTACCTCATTAATGGTAGAAACTGGCAGAAATTGAAGAGAGAAATTTAAATCAACATTAAATAATTTTTTATTTGTCGTTTTGTCCAAACAGGCAGGAAATTTGATTTGAGGGTCTATGTTCTGGTGTCATCGGTACGTAATGAACTTCATCTCTTATGCAACACACACCACATACATGTACAGTATATGTTGGCATTCATGACTTGGACTTTGTGTTTATATGTGTCTTTCAGTATGCTCCCTTAAAGGCCTGGCTCTACAGAGATGGGTTTGCACGCTTCTCAAACACTCGCTTCTCTCTGAACAGCATTGATGACAAGTGTATCCTTTCTATCACCATTACGTCTCCAGTCTTCTTAAGATGTGTGAGTGTTTGTTTGCAGTTTTCATCAAGAACAATACCCCTCCACCCACCCCGCCCCCCACCTCACCCACTTCTACATGAACACATTAACATGTAACATGTATGGCTGTAAGTTCTACAAAACTCTAACTGTTCTTATTGAATAAAGACTAAAACCTAATACAGATCTGTTCATTTCGTTCCACTGTGGAACAAATAAAGACATTTTTGAAATTGATTTCCTTTGCAGTAATAGTTCAATGCCCTCCAATTTGGGAGTGACTCCCTTAAGCAGATAGGTGCATGGGCCTGGTTATTGCTGTCTACAGAGTTATTGCACTTATTTTCCCAACATGCCCTTACTACGTGTTCTTTTAGACATGCATCTGACTAATGTGGCTGTTCAAAAAACAGCGCCGGACTACGACCCTGAAAAGGTTTGTAACGACAGAACCCAGACTAGGGATAGATCCACTACACTGTGAGGTGGTAAAGGCTGCTTTATTAACTCATCCAATTTTAAATAGGGTTGTAAATGGCAAATGCAGCAGCTTCGGAGATACCTGACTGCAAAACACGGCAGAGAGGCAGTCGAGACCCTGTTTGCAGAGATGGACAACATCTTCGTCCGCAGTCTCCAGAGTGTGCAGAAGATCATAATCAATGACAAGCGCTGCTTCGAGCTCTACGGTTACGACATTCTTCTGGACCAGGACCTGAAGCCGTGAGTGCTCACACACACCCACATGTCATCATGCATGTCAATACATTGCACTAAATGTTTCAACTTGCAAACATGCGTCGTCAGGGCGTGCGTGTGCCCAGAAATGGGGTGAGTGGCTCAGTAGAGTGTGTGTCCTGTTTGTTGCTTGTGCTGCGTTTACACCCACCATTAAGCAGATCAAAGCACATGCACAGGCAAGAAGACGTGTGCACGTTTGACTTGTCATCGTGACCACGTCAAAACAGAACAGTAAATCTGCCAGTGGTACTCCTGAAATAGCTTGAGCTTAAAACTCCCTGCGGTATTGGAAAAAACCCCCCTGACAGGTATGCAATCAATAAATACACACGTCGCTGTAAATACTAACACGCATATCTTGACAGCGCCAGTGTTCATATTGTGACATCCATTTACATGTATGTTATTGGCTGTCAGACAAGTATGTGACAGGATTGACAAGGCTGCAATGACACGATAAATAATAATAAAAAATGGTCGTAATTTACCTTAATGTTGGTGAAGCATGCAGCGGCTTTATATGTGGTACAAATTGGTATTGGGATAAAAAAAATAAAATGCTTAAGCCAGAAATGTCATTTTGAATAAATGTGAAGGACAAGGTACAAGAAAAATGACCAAAACCAGAGTAAAACAGAATTAAAGTACAAACACCTGACAGGCCCAGTTGACAGCTAAAGCTTAAGACAACAAAAAGAGGACATTTTCTGGGCTGATTTATGGCCTTTGCCGCCAAGAATGTTTAGTTTGTTACATAGTTTGAAATATATATTCATCACTTTGCTTTAAAAAAAACAGACAAAATAAGGCTCGGCCTTCCCTAGGGCTCCCACTGCCAATTTGACATTGTTTTTATCTTAGTCCTTACAGGAAGTTCTTAGATATTTATCTTAATGAAAGATTTGATGAATGATTTTTTGTTTTGAATGAGAACGTTTTGGATATATATCGTCAGCATCAATAACAATGTTGAACAGCTTAGAGACTGGTCAGTACATGGTCGCAACAAGGGACAAACAATATAAATCTAGTTGTGAAAGATCCTAATAAATGTGTGTAATGCAGAGTTTTGCATCAACTAGTACTTTAATTGGCATGTTAGTATTTTATAGTATTTTGCTTTCACCTTTTTTTTCAAAAAGCTACATGAAGCATTTAATTTTTCAGTATTTTGATTTTATTTTTCTTTCACAAACCAATGATGATAAAAATACAGTTTTATGTTATTATTGCGTTTATTAATTGTGTTTCATCCAATAAAACATTTACACTGCGAGGAAAAGCTCTGGTGTTTCATGGAGCCTTATACATTAAAAGTTGAGCTATCAAAATAAAAGCATGAAAAATTAAAAAACAATCATTAATTTGTACACCTTTTAATGAGTGGGCAGAGTGATGGGCACAGTTTATCCAATAATTAATTACACTGTCCATCCAGTAACTTATTGTTATTCTAATACACAGTCAATAAACATGGTTTCCTCAAGCTTACAATAAAATCTAATCATATACACACATGAATCTACCAGCTGTTTTTTTTACTGAAAAAAAAAAATGTTGGTCACATTTAAAAAATTGATTTACATCAATTAATCATGATTATTGACAATCACCATTTCTTGTGATTAGTAACAATCATAATTAATTATGATTAACTAAGATTTATTCACAGCTATCCTGTGAATAATCAGATAAAAAAAATTAAATACATGTACGTTACAGTCCTAATTTCAAGAAAATTAATTAACTCTGCTGCTTATTGTCAGTTAACCTTGTGTCAGTTCAAAGGATTATACAAAAGTTTGCTAAGAACCGCTGACCTCTCCTTCAACTCTTTGCAGGTGGTTAATTGAGGTGAATGCCTCTCCCTCATACACACCCAGCGGTCAGGAGGATTATGAGATGAAGTGCAGACTGCTGGAAGACACTTTGAATGTTGTTGATATGGAGGGAAGGTGCATGGCCTGCATAACAATTCACACCTTTATTTAATCACATTTTCTAAGGCAGTAAAACGGCAGACTCTCTCATCTAAATGAGCCAAAAAGTTTCTTAGCTGAGATTACCTTCTTCTCCCTCCCAGGCTGACAGGCAAGGAGAAAAGGGTGGGCGGCTTTGACCTGATGTGGAACGACGGGCCGGTGTGTAGAGAGGATGCTAACCTAGAAACTTTAGCAAGTTCGTGTTTCACTGCCAACACACACTTAGGTAAATGAACTTTGTAGTAAAGGCATCTAATTACAGTTATTTGATCATTATCTTTACAAACTAATTACTGCAAAGTACTTTCCTCTGTTGCAGGGTGTGTGAATGACAGAGAGAGGCAGCTACGGCGGCTAATGAAACCATTGCTATGTCAAAAAAGGATGTGAACAAAGTCTGAAAATGTCATCAGGTTGATGTGAAGACGTCCAGAGAGGAAGTGCTGTGCTGGCTTTGGAATGAACAGCAGGTGAAAATGTGGCTCCTTCTAATACCATTTTAAACCAAAGGAAATTGTCCCTGAAGAGATAAGGTCTCAGTTTTTCCTTTTGTGTCAGCCATAACAAAGCAGCATAATTTAAAAAAAAAAATCAATCCCATTTAGAGAAAAATAGACAATAAAGCACAGTGGGAGAAGGTGACTATAAATGTCAACTATGGTACTTCCACGTAGAAATCCATTCAAGGAAGACAATATTCTGCTTCAGCTCAACAAGTGTAGCTGCAAAAGGTTTGATAATTCTAGTCATTTGAGCGCTATAATATTACTCTATTTTTTTCAGTTAAATTTAAGCTAAACCAGATGTGTCTTTTAACATAACAACATAAAATAAATAAGCTCAATAATGAAAACTTTGACATTGACAAACTTGTGAAACTACGTTTTTTCAATACCAAGTATAAGAAATAACATTACAAAATATTTCATGTATTATTACTTTTGGACTATAAGATCTTTACTTTTTTTTTTACATAAAACCTTTCTAGAGGAAACACTGCCACCTGTCCAAAATCATCCATTTTAATGGTAGGCATAAATAAAAAAAGTGAAGGGTTTATTTAGTAAAAAACTAAATGCAAATACAGAGTAGTAGGTAGACAGTACACCTCTAACTTTCGTCCTGTTCTCACAACAGTTTTTATGTACAGTTTTAGTAAAAGGCAGGATCCGTTCATGTGCAAAACATTTATTTATATGCCTTACAAAGACATTGCATTCAACATTAAGAAAATACATACCACAATCTTTCTGCGTGCATGTTGACAAAGTGTACACATTAACAACAACGTCACCAATCTTGGCTTTGAGTACATGTGGCTGTGATGCAATGAATAAAGGAGTGCAATTCAAATGACGGCGTGTACATTTTTTTCCCCATCAGTTGTTGCACATGGTAAATCACAGGACACAGGAAGGACAATCACATGTAAACACACAAATGTTCTCAGCATTTCAAGTGTTTTGTTTCAGCTCGTGAAATGCAATGAAGAGAGATATTTTTTTCCTGCGAATGCTCAAAGTACAGCATCAGTGGACGTAACATTACATTCAGGTTCTCTTTCACAAGAATTCAGTGCGTGACATGTAAACAAAGAAAAGAAAAAATTGACAGTAACGTGAAGAAGTTTCACCACAACACTTTTCATAAATATAGCTATGGTATATAAAATTTGGAAAAATATGCTTTTACATTGGTAACAAACATTACACCATCTTCTTCAGTGATACAAAGAGCTCAGCTCCAAGCAAAATACAGTTCATTTTCAGACACGGCTGCAGCTGTTCCAAACATGAAAAGCCCTTGTGACAAAGGAAACAAATGTAAAACCACTGTACAAATATTAAATAAATCACATTACCGCAGTACACACCAATCACTATGCCTCCTTTACAGCCAAAAATGTTTCAACTTAAAAAACAACAACTTTGAAAAACTAGGCACTAAAAGTAAAAGGTTTAAAAAACGAAAAAAGCAACCGCAAAAAAAATTAAGATTTTTAAAATGTTTAATACATTCTCACATCAAAAGTTCTATTGTATTTAATGAGCTAAAATGTGATGACCTCTGTGTAACATCACTATATTTTATATTGTGTCTTCGAGAGTCATCCTACAGTACGGTCGATGCTTATGTTTATATCAGTATTAGTATCACACTGGGATATTAGTGCAACAGAGTGTTAAAATGTCAGTAGTGTAGAGTTGATATAACCTCGTGGTCAAACATTATTTGAGTATAATAGTTCTTCTTTTGTTGCTTATAGTTTGTTAAATGTGTCATGTGTTAGTTTCGTTACAGCTACTCAGTGTCTTACTGTTTAAAAGGCCAAACACTACTTGCTTATTTGAACGGCTCTACAACTGTTACAACATGTTAGTACTACACAGATTACACAGAAAGCAAGCATAGTTTCAAGCTCCTGTACCGTAATCACTAAGTGAAGCGCTATAATATAGACCTATGTTGTTTACTTTGCAACAAAGTGCACAGTTTTTGCTTTGCCATTCTGTTTACTGCTATTCAGCGCTTTGGAGAGAAGCTGCGGCTCTTTAGTAGCTCTTTTCAAGGATGTTTTAGTGGCCTGGCTAACTGACTCTGCCCTCTGCTGGTCCCTCTCTACTCTTCTGGAGGTGTTGACCTCTCGCTTGCTGGCAGCAGAGACACGTTTTTCAGTGCTGGCTACTTTCACACCTGGCTCCTTTTTAACATCTGTCTCAGAATTAGCTCTAATGCGGCTTTTCCTCACCTGCCCTTTGCCGTTTGGGTTTTTTCCAGACTCTTGTGGTTGCTTCCGGACATTGCCTGTGGCATGCATTTGTCTGAGATGGCTCCTTCCGGCTGAAGGGCTCACAGGGGTCTGGGCTCCTCCACTTCCTCCTTGTCCTCCAGGACTGCCTTCATTGGAGGGTGCACGTGTCTCGCTGCTACTCCGTTTTACCTGTGCCCCAGGCCTTGCTCTGCGCTCAAGCAAAGGGCTGAGACGTGAGTGGCGCTGGTAGGCATAAGCAGAGCAGGTTCCATTGCACAATGGGTAGCGGATGTTACAATGAGGACAAACTGGGAAGCGGGAGAGCTGTTGCTGAGTAGAAGCGGGGGATGGAGGGTTGTTAACAGGTGTAAACGGGAAGGTCTTCTGACCGTGACGTGCCCCTTTTGGGGAGTTGAGTCGGGACGATGGAGCTGTGTGAGGTCTCGGGGAGTGAGCTGTGGGGAAACTTTGTGGCCTTGGACGAGTTCCGGCCGGACGACTGGTCTCTGCCTGCACTGTTTGTATCTGAAGCCACTCCAGTTGCAGCAGCCTCTCCAGATACTTCTCTAAAGGCCCAACAGGCTTGGGCCGGGGGGCACCACGGCCTTCTGTATGGAGAAACACGGCCAGCTGTCTCAGGCTCCAGCTGTTGAAGGGAGGCGGCAGAAAATCTTGGTAACTGTAGATGGGTTTTTCAGCCTCGTCTTGATCCTCAACAGTGCCCCCGGGCCCAGGGAAGTCTGGAGGAAGATCATTGGAGTTGATAACCTCAGCACGCAGGTTGAGGTGAGGAGGGGTACAGGGTGTACATGGAGACGGCAGCACAGGAAGCCTCTCAGAGTCTGACAGATCACTGGCACTGTCAGTGTCATCATCCTTCTGGTTGTAGTGCTGCTGTAGTGCCTGTGGTGTGGGGGCTGGGGAGTGCGTCAGGGGGTGTAATGGCATGTGTCGGAGCCCGGATATTGGGGACAGGGGCAGAGAGAGGGCTCGACGATTTTTCCCCATCGCCCCACGATTTGGCTGCAGCTCATTGCCACACACGGACATCCGTTGATTTTCTTGTTTATCCTCTTTCCTGTGCCATACGTGTTTGCCTTGTTGAACTTTTGATTCTCCTTCTTCAGGGCTGTGTGAGAGCGAGAGAGAGGTAGATATGTAAAAGAAACCCATCTGGGTATATCAATACCTTTAGCAAATAATCTTTTATTAACCTTTTTAACACATACCTGGAGAGTTTGCTTGTATTTCTGCCAGATTTCACCCTTCCAGCTTTTGACTGTGAGCTCTGTAAATAAGAAATTGAAGTTTTCTGAAACGGATTATAAGGATGTGCATTATTATGTATCATTATTATATTTTGTTATTAGGAATGTACCTGATCTGACTGGACATCAAGTTTTATTTGCATGAGTACTTTTTATCATTTTCAACTGCAGAAATTGAAGTGACAACGACACAAATGATGGTCTCAGACCAAGCTCTCTTTAACACACAATTCTGGAAAAGTACTTATTAGTTATTAGTGCAAAAGCCAATTCTAAGTTAGGATATGGTAAAATTCACCTTGCGTTTCCTATTTAATCGTTCATTAATTTTATTAATTTATAAAATATTATTAATAACAAACCACAATTTTTCTGTAACAAACATCTCATCTTAACTGGACTATTATAAGCAGGCTAATACTTTGTAATGACGTAGTTACATCCTACTACGACACTCACCTTCTGCAGAGTCATCACTGTGTCCTTACCCTGACCTGGTCCTGGAAGGCCCATGTTTATTTGGCCAACCTCTTTCTTTATCTTGTTACCTTTCTTTGAACTGGGGAAACATTAGAGCAAGTCATGGGCTCATCTGCCCTCAAACATATGAGCTAATCGTAGGGGATTTTTTTTTTCAAAAATGCAAATTTTAAAGAGAAATACCTGGTTAATGGTCCACTATTTTCTGCGTTTTTTACCCGGATCTTTTCTTTAGAAACGACGCGTTTCAGTGTCGTGGATGCTGTGCGTTCCTGCATGATAGGACCCATGATGAAGGTCGACAGGTGGAATGGATGATGTTTTGGTCCAGGCAGCGCCGTTTTATAGCACTATAGCTAAAGGACCCAACCGATATCTCGGTTCGGATTCTTCATTTTGAGAAAAAGATTAAAATCATACGTTTTTTCAAAGGTACTGCAATGCATCATTGCGCTGTAGTCGACAGACGGCTCTCCACTGCAGCTTCCTATACAGATGTCGAACCGCTTCGCAGACTGAATCCCAATCAAACGATTATTTTTTAATGAACTCCTCACAGAGGCCGTATCTCTTTTTCGTATTCCATTTTACTCATGATTAAAAATGCAACACGACCCGACGCCGCGTAAGCTTTGTTGGCTCGCTATCCCTGTAAGATAGGTTTGTTTACCTGCTGCCTGACTGGCTAGCAGCTCGTGTTGAAAATAGGCTATCCAGATGCATCACGGGAAATGCAGTGAAGTCGTATCAGCTGAGCTCAAAACCAGAAGACACAATCTTCCCACAGTCTGTGTGCTATTTGCTGATAAATTGGAAGCGCATTTTTTTGCTACCAAAAACTTTAAACTGACAGAAAATGGTGAAAATTATCTACATTGCTGTGATGTTGTCTCCTAATTTACTCATTTTCCCATAAGCCAACAGTGGTCGTTTTGGAGCTTCCTACTAACGCAGGTCCGCAGATTTACACCGTGCAGACATGTACATGTGTAGCAAAGTTGTGCCGGTGATCGCTGTTTACAAATCAGTTTGCCTGTCTGCGGCCGACATAGGAGACTGCAAACACCTCGCATGGGAACACGGGGCTCTATTTGATGTCACTCTGCATGGACGAACAAGAATCCGACTCCAACTTTATACGGTAAGGCAATATCAGCGTCGTGACGCTGTTTTTAAAATTAATGCTGCTGCACAGAGCGGGCTAGAAATCAGCTGTATGCTTTCAGGCACGTACACCGCATAGTACACGCCCACTCATGCCTGTAGGGACTTTCTGTCCTGGAAAAATGACGGTAATAATATTGCTTTTTACAGTGCATTAATTTTTCAGCTATGTAAGTTTTCAATGCACGCAACATGATCATGTCATTACACTGTGGTTTGTAACCTTTTCTATAGGTCAACAGGGCACCAGTTCTTATAGGACATGGATAGAGGTTGGTTCATAGGACACACAAGAATTCTGCCAACAGAATATGAGTCCAATTTCTGCAATAATACACCGACCCGACCCAGCATGACGTTTAAACTGAGTGATATAGTCCAGGCCCATAAACCCAATGCACCAAAGAAGGCAGTTCCAATCCGTCCTCCAAGTCCCAGAGTCCCACAGCAGAGTGGTCAAGATTTTCATCGCAGATTCTCCTGTGAACCCACACCTAAACCAATTATCCGACAACGATCCCGCTCTCTACCCTCAACTCCAGAGAGGAAAAAGCAATGCCGGAATGTGGGAGTAAGGTTTGTAGACTCCTTGGGCCTTGACCTTGAAGACATAAGAATGTTTAGGTCAAGAGACAATCCATCTATACCCCAACATGTTACCTTTAGATTGTTGATGGGGGCCGAGTTGGCAGATGGGAAACATCTGGAGTTATCATTGCCTTACATGAAACCCTTTTTTTTGGAGCAACCTGGTGATCAGCCAGGCTTCTTCCAGCGTCTCTGCGAGCAGAAAGTGTGTCTGGAGAGGGTTATGTGTTTTGAATTGGGTGTCATTGGAATCACCCAGGTCATTAATCTGGATTTTGAGAAAGATGTCATCGCTCGTTATTCATTTACAGAGTGGAAGAGCTGCTCAGAAACTAAGGCCTCTTGGGTGTCCACCATCACCAAATTCTGGGCTGGAGGAGGGGATCAACTCAGTTGTGATTGTTTTCGTTTTCACCTGCCTGTTCCTCCATTTCTTCAACCAGGAGCTGTATTAGAGTTTGCCATACAATACAAAGTGTGTGGAAATGAATACTGGGACAATAATAATGGGGAGAATTATAAATTAGTTTGCCATAATTATAAACTAACAGTGCCAAAAGAATGTGAGAATAGCATGGTGCACTTTATTTAAGATGCAGAGTGAAGAAAGAAGAGACCTTTTAGAAGCACTTTATAAGATGTCCTTATATAACTGCATGTCCATAATGCTCAACTATTGCCAACTTTAGAGACAATACACATTGCCTTGAACTATTTGAGATTCAAGTTAAATTGACTGAAAAGTCTAATGTTTTGCACTGAAACACAATGCTGACTTTGATGTCACTGTTTGATTTCACAGTTTTAATGCACTTTGGTAGAAAACTATTTTTAAAAGTTATACTTTAATGTGATGACATCCGATAGTGATGGCAGCCAAGAGTGTTATAGAACTGTACTATACATTCATTCATACTGAATCTAAAGCACTAACAGCTGTGGATTTGAGAACACTGTGAAATAGTCTGCTGAAACATTTAGCTGGTTTAAAAAACATTGTTCCAAATCCAATTATGTAAATTCTGATCTTGTTGTGTTTTAATAAACACAATGGCCCAGGTCTAGTAGGGCACATACCAAGCTTATTGCTAGAAATATCAAACATTGTAATTCATCTGATCACCACACGTCAGTGCCCTTGTGCCTTTCTTTGAGACACTTCTTTGTCATACATACATACATACTTGTCATACCCAGCTATCTGTGGCCTTTTGGTCCTGTTGATGCTACAGTAGTTGTCTTAATAAACAGCTCACGTATAATTACCAAATACATCTGCACAAATGTGTGTATTTTTGTGCTTTTGAGTCTACTTAGACACACTAAAAAGATTCTGGTAACTGTCTGTGTTTATTTTATTTTCTTGTTTGGAAAACGTTGTTTGCACCTTATTCAAAATATGTTATAGAGCTGGTTTTAAAATTTTGCCAAATTAGTTAGGGAAAATACAGTAATCACTACAGTATTTTTAGATTTTCAAATAAAAATATCTCTTTCATAATAAAAATGTATAAAATCTGTATTCATATTTAGCACTAATGTTGACAGTGCTGTATGTAAACAGAAAATAAAGCATTTGCTACTAAATTGTGCTCAAAATTGCATTTTTAAAATAATAATAATTAATAATACAAATTAATAATTATATCACAAATGTTTATAAAACGTGCTACATTCTTGCTCATGTGCAGTTACATGAAAACTTTTGTTAACAATAACAATAATGAACAACTGTCTGTGAGACTGAGCATTGCTAAAATAGTTGTAGGTCACTTAAGGTATTGAAATTAGTGAGTGCAGTAATATATTTGTTAAAGAAAATGGGAGCACTGTATGTACCACCCCTAAACTTCATATAACTAACAGAAAAACATTAGTTATACACAGTCTATGTTAATTATGCTATTAATATTTCCATCCATGTTCTAAATTATTAGTTTCACATCTACGATATGTATATATTTAAATAACGACAGTGTTGGGCGGGGCACTACCAATCTAAGTTAGCGCTTGTGATTGACAACCATATTATCCAATAGGAACCTCTGATGTCGCTAATAGCTTGGTAACTGGAGTGTTTTAATGGCTGGAACCAATGACATAGTATCCACTAGTATATGCAACTTTTTACGTTCTATTTTGTTTGAAACTTACCATAAATACAGCTTTATTTTAAAAAAGGGGGACAATAAAAACGTCACATTCATCGAGGAAAGACACGGCCACATTTGTTTTTTTCTTTCTTTTTTTTTGTACCAGAATGTGTGCGTATTAAATCGTCAGGCACCGGAGCTGTGCAGGCGTCAGGTAGGTGGCGATTTCGTGCTTCCCAAAACAGTGGGAAAATATATATTTTAATGTGTATATATATATATCAGCTAATAATTTGAAACTGTTGTAATCTATTTTTCCTTTTTTGTTCTACTAGAAAAAGGCACGTCCAATTAAGTAATCAATTATCGTTCGTTATGGCAGTTTAGTTAAACTAGCATTACGAGCTAATGCTAACACGTTCTGTTAGAGTAAAATTAACTATTTGTGATGTAATACTACCGGGTAGGGTGTGCATTACCAAGCAATATTTAAAGCGAGGTTAGGATGTGAATTCACAGCATACTCGTTATGTATAAATTCATAGTTTGAAAAATAATGATCCTATACATAGTTCTCCCGATTAATTTCCTAAATGACATTGCTGATATTTAATTTTGCAATTTAATTCTACCTACCATTTGATAAAAATGTGTAATATATTTTACAAATGTACTGAAGCTATACATAATTGTTTGATTGCCAAACAATTACAGTATACCTGGCTACTGTAACATTCAATGTCTGTGTGAACAGTGATCTGTTGTATTTTTTAAGGTGATTTTTGTATTGTGATTTAAAGGTTTTTAAGGTGTTTTAAAAAGGTAACTTCCTAAATTTTAAGCAATCTTCAATTAATTGTTGGGCTTAGTCAAAATACACCGATTCCTCCATCCGTATTTTATTGAGCCAACAAATCATTGAGAATATAAATATAACATTTTAAATATAAAAACATCTTCAAATTGTTTTTTTCGTTTCTAAAGCAAATATATTTAGTTAACTGTTAGAATAAATCAATATTTTAAGATGCTTAAATGAAAAATCATTCCTTATATTTGCCCCCCCCCCCCCCTTTTTAATTAAAACCACATTTTAATAATGTCCACAATTCCTTTTATAATTGGTCATTACTAAGCAACTGCTGGGTTTCCTTCACAGGTCTTTCAAAACAAAATTGACTTTGAATTGTGGTAACACTGTTACCTATAGTACGAAGAATGGCACCGGTTCAGGTAAAAAAAAGAAAAAGCAATAAAAAATACTGCTTATGACCAATACTCCCTGTTAAAGTAACTGCTCCTAAATAGTATTAAAAAAAATTTTAACATTAGTTTGTAACTTTTTTTTCTGTGCAGTTGGAGAAAGTTATTGACGATGTGTTAAAAAGTGGCAATGTTCAAGAACTGGATATATTTTTGCAAAGAGACGTGGATCAAGGGACTTCATTTAAATGCTCTCAACAGTTTCTTAACAAGTTAGATAAACTTGTTCAGAAGGTAAGATAAAATAAACACACAGACTAACTTATATAGGCCGAGGCACACTTTAGATCAGTGGTTCTTAACTTTGTTCGAGGTACTGAACCATACCAGTTTCATATCGCATTCAGTCATCACGAATCATATGAGTCAGGTGTGTGTCTTGTCCTCCGCCAAACCCCTGAGACTGACTCACCGAACCCCCGGGGTTCGATCGAACCCAGGTTAAGAACCACTGCTTTAGATATATATTCTTTCTTTTCGTCTCCAAAAAACATCAGGTCTATCTCTCATTCCCAGTATCTTGATCACAAAGATGCCAGAACTGCCAGTCTGGGCTTTATGATCATCTACAAATATGGGTCAAACCTAAAACTTCCAGGCAAAGGACAAGGGCTATCAGGAATGATAATGCATGGACTGGTCGATAAGATGAGTATACATTCCTTTACACTGTTTCATTGTGCTGTAAAAGTACATTTATTTTATTTTTGATAAATCCTTGTTTTCTACACATGATGCAATGGTTTGAGAAATGCAGGCATCTGTGGATCCAGTGTGGTCCACAGTGGCATGAGACCATGTTCAGCCTTTCTGAGGATTTCTTTGATACCCTAATGGTAGGTCAATGTCTTACTTACTTCTCACTGAACTTCTACAAATACCAAATGGCAGGGGTACCCAATAAGTAAATCAGGATCTACCAGTAAATCCCAAAGGGACCACTGGTAGCTCATGAGAATAAAATTTAATAAATATATAAATATATACAGTATATATAGTGTGTAGTAGTGACCTTATACTATAACAATTAAATCATATTGTGCCAGAGCTACATCATCAGTACCCAAACATGCAGTGCATATAAAAAGCATGTTCAGTTAATATAAGTAAATATATTTTAATGCTTTAAAGTAGGTAGGTGACTTTAGCCTGGTTGTTTGAAAAGTACTCTAGCCCAAGCCAAGAAAGCGTGGGTACCCCTGCCATAGGGGATCAATAAAGTTGCTACAGTATCTATCTAAGCTATACTTCATGACAAAAGTGACATGAAATGTTATAAATCAAACTGTGATGTTCAGAATGAAAACTCTTTTTTTCTTTCCAATATATTAAAGGTTCTTCATGAAGCATGCAAAGATGGTATGTTTTCTTATTTCTATGTTTTGTTTAATTGATTTGTGAGTGTTATTTTAAGTAACCATCCAATGAGAAGTGCTTATTAACGTTGCTATATGTTTGTTATCCATTCATGATGATTGCAGGATCATACAAAGTCACAGAGTCCTTCTTGTATCCAGTTGGTCAGATGGCAGTAGACCCCAGAATCTACATTTTAATTAGAAAGGAGGTAACAAACCTTTACATGTTCATATGAAGTAGTTTTAAAGTCACAAACCTACTTTTTTATGATAAAAAACTTTTCAACAATATCTGAACAGGCTGTGCGCAAATTCAACCTCATTCTGGATAAAATCCCAATGGAACTTAAAAAAGACAGGAAGATTCTAATGTCAGAAGAGGCCTCAGATATCATGTATGTCCTGTTACTTTCCCCAATGCTTCCAGGTCGATTACTTGTGTTAAAAATAACCTCACTATCTTGACCTTGTCTGTTACATTTCTTAAGGATCAAAATGGCTTGTCAAATATCAGAGGGTGGTGGTGAGTTCATCTTCAGTGTTGTCATATCCAATTTTTCCATCCAAATCACATGTAGATGACAGCAGTATGCAACACCCTCTTGTTTGTATCAGATTACGACTATCAGACAGCCATGACTGAGGCGTTGTGCAGAATGACCACTGCTGAGCAACGGAAGGATCTGGCCAGTCACTGGTTCACAATGGAGCACATGGTCTCTGCCTTTGCTCAAATTCAAGATTCTGAGTTTGAGACGGTAACATTCAGCCAATTATTTAATACAGTTTTGTGTAGTACGAGTTAAGTACAAATATTGAGAGTTAACATAAAATGTGTGTAATTTCAGGACTGTCGGAGGTTTCTCAACATGGTGAATGGAATGCAGGGAGACAAGGCAAGGTACATACAGACAGTAATCAAAACATAATTAAGTTCTACCTCTTCACCAAATGTAACATGCAACAGCAGCAGAGTTCCTCAACCAGCTTTGTGACACAGATCAATTTCTTGCAATATTGTAATACGCCAGTAGTCATAGTATGCAATAAAATAAAATATATGATATAACCAGTATTAAAACAAATATGAAAAAAGTGCAATAGTGCACTAGTTACAAAACCCTTATCCCCTTTTTTAAGAAGCACTACATAGAATGTTTCCTAACATGTTTCAGCAGGTTTATGTAACTATGAGAGAAAAACGTCTTATGCAATGATGAGCAGTAAAAATACAAAAATAAGTTATTACATTTTCCCCAAGTGACTCATACTTTACCTTTGACCTAGAATAACCACCTGATTCAGCATATTTGTAAAATATATTCTCACTCTTTTTATTATTTAAATACATAAAAGATAAAACAGCACAATATAAAATACACATTTTCTAAGTAACTCAAAATTATTCTGTCTTTTCTTTAGGGTGTACTCTTACCCCTGCTTGGAAGTGTATCTTGACAAGTATGAGGTCAGTAAAACGGGAATGCTCTAAAGAAAAATGCAGAATATGTTTAACTTGGACAAGCATTAAAGTCAAGAATAGATGCCTCCTCTGTGTTTGTAAACATGAATATTGACCGTGACACGGCATGTCAAAGTCTAGTCATCACATTCTTTGGCAGTTTATCATTGAAGAACTGTGGTGTGTTTCAGCTCCTGATGCCTGCTGATGAAAAGTTGGAGGAGTTCTGGATTGACTTCAATCTCGGGAGCAGCAGCATCTCATTTTATTTCTCTCTCTCTAATAAGAAGGGACAGGTACCTTTAAATGCAATAGCAAATTATTGTATACAATTAATCTTCTTGTACACAATTACCATTTGTGTAACCTTTGTTACCACCTTGCATTAAATTACTTTCCTTTATGCAGGAAACCCCGTGGGAAACCATTTGTATCAGTGACAATGAAGTCCAAAGCTATACTGTTACAGGTGTTTGAAGCTTCTTGATGCAAATTTCACACTGCAAGTCATCACAGTTATGTTGTATGACTTGTGTTACAGTCATCAGCTTATGCACCTGCCCAGGAAAATGCTATCAGATTTATAGTTGATAGATTTATGTGTATTTAATGGAGAAGAGCAACAGATCAAACAGAAGGAATGTCTAAGGTAGACATTATCTGCATTGTGATTTGTGAGTGGCAGGCCAGGTGTAGACTATTTCTACGTGTGTGCAAGAGAAAAAGTGCCATATATCAAACAACTTTTTTTCTTTTAAATCTCCAGAGGAGCCCCAAAAGACAGTGTTTCATTTGAAACTGTCGGAGATTGTGGTTGTGGACACAGTTGAAGGATCAAGTCTAACCATCTACTTCAGCTCCAACCTCGACATCCTGCAGGCTGCTCGTAAGGTCTATGGAGAGAGCAAAAACAATGTAATTAAAACATTATTATGTTTTTTTCTTTCTTAAGCATTAACTCTAAAAGCTACATAATACTGAAAAAGGCAGCCTGTAAAAGGTATTGATATTCAACAAGTCTCAGTTATTTCTTTGTTGGTTTGTATGTGAAATATTTAATATGTGAAAAGAAAACATAGAATTACTGCCTTTGCTCGGCGCAGTCTCCACTTTGTTGTGTTACTGTAAATGATTTAATTTCACAAGCGTTTCTTCCTTTCAGGCCTTTGTAAAAAAGGCAGGTACATCTGTGGTGAAGACTACCATTAAAATCACAATGGAAGAAAATAGCTCCCAGGTATGCAGTAATTTGTTTCTGTCAGTTTAGAACTATGATGATTAATGCGGTCATCATAGATGCCAAGGTATTGTATGAAAGCTAGAGATTGTTTGGAGTGGCTTCCAATTCATAAAATGAATATTCCCATCGACTAATCTGCTTCATTCATAGGTTATGGGTGAGTTTATTCTGCAAAGAACTTGCTGTGAACAAACCAAAGTAACTTGTTTGCTTTGTTTTAGCTCGTATATTTTCATTCTTTATTGTTATTGGAGCTGACATCGAATAGATTCAATAGATTCAATTTAAATTACATCTTGTGTGTGTAATTCAAATAACAGACTATTTTACCTTATCTTATTACTTATTACTTTGTAGGTTGTTCCTGAGAGTCAGATGTCCCTTGATGAGAAAAATACAGCTTCACAAATTTTATTTACCTCAGAAGCACCTGTACAGGTAAATTGGGTTTTAGATTAAATGTAATGCTATGCAGCAATGTATACAGAAAAGTAATTAATGACGACACAAAAAATAACAAACAAATAATACAGAATGAATTACAGTTTTCATTGAAACTTTTTAAAGTTTTTGTTTTAAATACAATCATTTTGTCTAGCTGTAATACTATTTCTGTGTAGTATATATTAACAGTCAACACCTTTTAAACCTAATGACTTCTCCAAAGCTAGTTTCTAGCATCTGCAGTGGACTGGCAAACTGTCCATTGTGTACTTTGTACCCCCTGAATAAATAAACAATTAAATATTCAGTCCAAAGGTTTCGCTCTTGTGAAACAATTCTCTTGCTTGGCCAGTAGGGGGTGTCGAAGACAAAACTTTTCCTGAATAACTCCACAAAGTTATTCACTGTTGCTAAACTAAAGGTTGATATATATTATAATGCTCATTCAGACTCCTGCTACAATGAGGATGTCAGAGTCCACAAGCTTCATCAGCCAAACAGGGAGAAGTGTATGCAGGGGCAGCAACATCTCTGCTGCTATTGCATCAAGTAGGTCATTGTTTGTTGTTTGTAAATGAGTTCAGTGAATGGTCACTATATATATTTTTCAACTACACATGATGTACCTGTTATTAGTTCTGGGCTGCCAATGAAAATGTTAACACTAAATGTGAACACATTTTTATTTTTAGTCACTGTTGATTAATTTTTTTAAATTGTCTTCACCATGTTTTAGACAAACCAGCTACAGGGAAACTATCTCTAGTTTCAACTTCACACAGCAGCGCAAGATCAGAGGACATGATGAAGCAGGTATGACAGCCTATTAATAAGCTGCACTGAGAAAAGCTTTCAGTGATCTCTCAACACTGAGTCAAGTTTCTAAAGTCATTAATGCAATTAGTTATCTTTCTACGAATTTGGTGAAAAAGAACAGACCAATCAAAGGAGAAAAATCAAAGGTTAAAATCATCAAATAGTTGTTTTTTTAGTTTATAAGTTGGGGAATAAATCGGTATGTTAAGTTTACATTTTTGTTTTCCTTTTTTGATTCTCTTCTTTATAGGAGGCTAGTGATATGTATCATAGTATGGTTCCAAAAAACCTTTCAGAGAATAAGGTGTGGCTTCGTAACAATTACAAAATTACATTAATGACCTGGATTCATTAATGTTTGATGATACAGTACAAGCACCAACATTCTTGTTCTGCTTGTCCTGCAGAGAAAAGCAGGACCTGCGGTTCCAGTGGCTCAGACAGGTCAAACTCAAGGTATTGTATTGACTTTGGCTCTGTATGTATAGCTACATAAAGGTTTTTCATTTTGACCTCACTATTAACCATTTTAATGACAGAAGATAATGTTGTGCCTGACACCCAGCCTGGACCGTCCAAAAGCATGTATGGCACGGAAAGATCAATGAATATATCTGAAAATAATATATTTTGAGTATTTATATATGCATATAATATTTTAATCGCAGATCATCAAACTGGAACAAAATGTCAGTTTCCCAAATCCTAATAATGCCCACACAGAGAATAAATCGACCTAGTAAGTCCACAGGAAACTTCACCGATTCTTGTGGTCATAGTACTTTTTATTATATTTTCAAATGTTTGCTTTTCACATTTTAGAGCCCAGTTTAAGTTTAGGAAAACAACAGGGGAATCTGTCCTCAGCCATGAGGTCATCAGTTCCACGCTCTGGCCCAATAGGCCAAAAGGAGCTCCATGCCAAAGTCACAGAGCGCTTACAAGAGGTTCTCCTTGAACAAAATCAAGCTCCCGCACTTCAAGAATTGACTAGACCCCAGAGAAAAAAGGCTGATGTCAGAGAGGACTCTTCAGACCAACGCTCCTCCACTTTCTCTGATCCTAAAGAACCTCAGAGCAGGGGGAAGACAAAAAGCCAAGCGATGGTGAAAGCAGGTGCTGCTCCAAACAAAGCTCCAGCCAAAGCCATTGAAATGAAAACACAACAAGAGAAGAGTAAAAGTAATACTGTCCTGTCTGTCAAAGAGAAGGTAAGAAACTTGAGCTTTGTGTTTTTTAAAGGATTTTGTGCTGCACCATATTATTCTCATAATTTTGTTATTATAAGAACGATGCGGAGGTTACAGAAAAATTAGTGGAACGGATTTCAAGCCACTACAAGATAAAAACAAACTATAAAGTAAAGAAGACAGGAAATGTCCATCCACATTGGATTCATTCTGTCAACAGGTACACGTATGTGACACATTCAGTTGTGTTGTAGATACAAGTAAAACTTGTTATTGTTACCTCTCTGCTCCTATCTCTTGTTACAGACCGATTTTCAACATGAGCTGGTTACCAAACACTAACGTAAGTTTTTGTTTATTTTGATTAAAAAGTAGCGATAATTATTTTCTTCATATTACTATAGATGATTTTCTGTGCTGTAGAAAAATGTTTCTGGAGCTTCTGGAGTGAGTGTTGAAAAGTGTCACGATAAAACATCAGACACGTCTTTCAGGTAACAGTGTAGTGTATACTGTACTCAGCCAGAAGATTACTTCATTTAAGTATTTATTTTGGGTTGTTTGAGAATTAAGTCACCTTTTTTCTGTTGAACAGAAATGATGTTTTTGCATTTGGTATTGATGCACCATTACAGACTGAGGTGAACAGAAAAATCAGTTGTTGTTGCAGGTTGAATTGTGTTTTGCTACAGTTACCTTCTTGTCTCATCTTTTTTGATATTTGAAGTAAGGTTTTTATATTTCTTATATGTAGGAAAGAAAACAAATATTGGCCAACACTCACAAATCAAGCAGGTCTGTTAACAGCTGTTAATAATAATCAGAATAATTGTTAATTATGATAGTATTAGAACTAAAAGTGTTCCATGTGTCGTTCTACAGCAGTTTCAATGATTCCTCCATATTTCACAGCACAACCAAGAAAGGGCTGCCTGTGACAAAGGTACACTCTCTACAGAAATACATGCAGAGAGATTTCTTAGCTAAGCTTATAGGGTCTACAATAATACCCCAGTCATCACTTATCGGCACTTATGCTATTGTTATGCCTTTTTCAATCTAATCTAATGATTTCTTTGTACTGTACCGCAGGAAAAGAGGAATGTGAAAAAGCATTTGTTTAGTGACACAGATACAGATTACACCATTACAGATGTAAGCTGGCTGAGAAACTCAAGCCAAAAGTCCAAACCCAAAGTTACGAAATATTCAAGGCAAGCGCCGGTCAATCCCAAATCTACGTCACCACACACATGTAAGCACCTCTAGTTACACACTTTGTTATTCATCCTTATATATTTGCTGATTCGGTGGTATTAATATTTTTACATAAATTGTCCTTTTCAGATAAATCTTCAGATTTTCCCCGCCTCTCTACGAAACCAGTGAATACAACACCGAACAATGTAAGGCACCGGTTTGTTAGTTTTTTTTTTTTTTTTTTTTGGTTGGTGCGAGTATTTGGTGCACTACCATATTTAGCCACTGTGTGTCGCTGTTGTTTTAGCAGAGAAAATATAATGAACGGGGGAGCGTGAAGCCAGCAGCGGAATTCAGCAAACGTGTCGCAAATGGGAGACCCAAGAGAGTTGCAGCCACTGCAACCAAAAGTTACAGAGAGCCCGACACTGATGACAGCCTGTCAGAGTCAGGGAGGTCTTCAGTTTCTCAGGCAAACAAATAATTTTTTACAATGTTGTTGCTTTTGCTACCAAATGAACTAACATCTTCATTATTTTGTGCACTTGTCCACAGGCTTCAATCTTTTCTGTCTTAAGATGTGATAAAAATTGTAAACTTCCTACTACCTAGGTAAAAATAAATTTAAAATCAAACAGAATTTTTTTTTTTTAACAGCTCAGCTCATCTGGTAACAGAAACCTTTACCAAGCGGAGGGTCACATGAAGAAAAAGTCTGCCAGCAAGTATCAAACAAAAAGTTACAGAAAGGTAGCAGAAAAAAGTCCACATGGTGACTCAGTGTCAGAGCAGCCAACTGCTTGTAAGGTTGGTGTGTTACGGTTTATATTTTTTATGTCCCCCAAAGAGATTGTGACAACCGATATGTAAATGGTGGCCATCTTAAAGATCAGTATTTTCTGTTGTTTTTGAAACAGACAGACAGAGGAGCTCTTCAGGAAACTCCAGTGTGTAGTAGGAAGTTAATTGTCCCTGTCCAAGAACAAAGAAGACCGGTGAAAAGTCCCTCAACCTCAGTCTGTCTGTCATCTCCTCACATTGAGACAAAGAGATGTAAGACTCGGTTTGCAGACACAGTAACTTCAACTTTAAATTGCAGTCATTTTTGTCCTTTGATAAAAGCTAATGCCCCTGAATGTTTCACAATCTGTGTCTCCCTTCTTTTTCTCTAAATTAAAAGAGAAGTGCCCACTGGCTAATGATGATCCTTTGTCCAAATTATAAATATATGGATTTCTAACTAGTGATATATGTGAATCATAAAGATTAATCTGTTACTCTACTGACCCTCTGCAGTAAACTGATATAAAGCAACCTATAACCCTCTGCAGTAAACTGATATAAAGCAAACATGACCCTTCACCCTCAGTCTTGCTGTCATGGCCAGCTGTTTGAACACCTGTGCTTATTTTGGACCTCTACAGCTGCTGAGAAGTCAACCTCCAACTTGGGTATGACCTCCTTCTCTCAACTCAACCCCCGAGAGTCTCCACTTCCTACCTCCCCTGACCTCGCCTTCCAAGACACCCCCTCTCCAGTCCCGCTGCTTCCCAACGTCAGCTCTGCAGTCAGCTGTCGAGGAATACACAGGCTCCCTTCAAACTTCAGTGCAGAAGAAAATCCCTTCAGCTCCAAGACTCAGTCTCTCAAGTCGGCCACCTCCCTTACTTCACTGAGACATCAGAGCCCTGCACCCGACGCCTCTTCATGTCCAGCCGAAGTAACAGAACTTTTTGATAATGTAAATCATTCTGTAAACAAGCACTAGATTTCTATTTTGCAACGTGGCAGTAAAATGTAACATAAAATGACGGCAGTATTTAATCATCTACATTTGCCAGTTCATAGGGTCAAGTTCATAGGATGTGTGAAGTACTCATAGAGAAACAATTCCCTGCTTTAATTAAATATGATGTTGTCATCAGTGTGATAGCATGATTTAAATGATCTAATCAGCTTCAGAGAGAACACATTATTATATTATTATGCTACAACAAATCACGTGGCCTATATTTTTTATTGCGGAACATATAATTTTTTTGGTACTAGTCCATGACAGAGCAATTGATAAGCTGACAACCAAATTATCTGCAACTATGTTTTGTCTGTCTCATCTCATCTTCACTCATCACTCTCTGTGCCTGTCCATTATTGTTCCAGCAGCATCTGTCTCCAGTGCCACTGTCTCCTTTGTCGCTGCCCTCTCAGCCTCTGCTGACGTCCACTTTCCTCGAGCTAGAGAAGTCATTCACACCTTTTCCCCTTGAAACACCATTTCCAGAAGACATAGATGATCATGTAGGCCCCGGTAAAGTGTCAGCAGCATCTGATGTGTCACTGCCATCTTCAAAGTCACTTAAGAAGAGGAGAAAAGTTACAGACAGAACCAGTCCTTCTATAAAGGGTTTTAATAACAGAGAGGTAGGAAAAGCTGAAACACAAGTTTAGGTTACAATTTGATGGATAGAAACAATAATAAATTACAATGTTACAAATGACTCATGTAAAAGACTCTATTGTGACAGGAAACACCATTTTCACACCAAGATCAAAAACCTACCTGGATTACTGTCTCAGGTAAGAGGTTTTTTTTGTCCCCAACTTTTGTGCATCACATGTCAAACAAATTATTTAAATGCTTAACTAATTATCGTTTTTTTTTTTCTTACAGGGCCAAGTCGTAAGCGCCAAATGTTGACAAATGTAAATTCTGAAGGAGATAAGAAGAACAAGAACAAAAGGCGCAAAATTAGAGACCAATCTTCTCCACAGATTAAACCAAGAAAGTTATTGAAATCCTGTAAGACACATTTCTTGTCAAAAACCTCAGCACGTTTGTTGTTTTACCTTGGTCCTAAGTTCATGTTTTTGCTTTATCCACCTAGAAATAAAACTGTTATGTCTATATTCTGTCTTTATGCATAAGTGCTTTTGTCTCTTGTCCTCAGTCATTGAGGCGTCGGCTGTTGATGAGGAGAAGCAGGTTACATCTTCTTTACACAACCTCAGCTCCAGCCACTGGGAGGCTGATGTAGGAGAATGTACCGTCGACATGGAGGATGAGAATTTGGAGTTGGCTGAAATTCCTATCATTCCAAAAAGCCTGTACCAACCGTTCAACTTTGATCTGAAGAAAAAGTCACAGGTTGCACATGAACACAACATCTGTTTTGCTGCTGTTGTGATGTTCAGTTCTGATCTTTTTGACCCTGTATTTTTTGTTTTAATGTATTTGTTTTTAGAGCCGTAACAACATGATGGACATTTACACGAAGTTGTCTTCAAGGACTGTGAAGCAACATGTTTCCTCTTTCAATATGCAGGTCACGAATAAGAGGTCAGTTTTTAAGAAAAAAAAACAGCCTTGAAATTTATTCTTTTTTCAAACAAACTTGTACCATAACATTTATCTACTGTAGTGCAAGATCTTGTTCTTTCTGGTTCACTTCAAATAGCAGTGATGCTTTAATGGTAATCAACTCTCTGGATACATAGTCAATAACAGTGCTAAGTGTACATATACCTTTTAGCAAAAGATCCAACATTAGGAACAAAGGGGACAAAAAGAAATATTCTCCTATTATTATAACATTAAAAGATTCATTGTTGATATTTGTTATAAAATAGCAGTGGATTATGACTTTAATAATATTTAAAAAATTAAATCTTTACAAAATATCAAGTATTTTAAGTAGTTAAATTACACATTGGAAATCAATCAGTGCAGTGGAAAAAGCCAAGAATTTAAGAACAATTAAAGCCTGTGACTGGAAAGAAAGCTTTGTTTTAGTCTTTTCCCCACCAGATCAAAAATGATGAAGCTCACTGACATCCCAATGCATTTCTAGCTGTAGCATTTTTACATTTTGTATCTGTTGCACTTTAAAAAGGTACTCTTTGTGTCCTATTACAGAACTCATAACCTGGAGCACACACAACAGCTCCTCATGGAGGAAATCCACAAATTGGAGGAAAATGACACGGTGCTGACCAGCATGGAGAAAGATCTGAACGTGGGTCATTCTGTCTCTTTCTGATTCTCCCTTTCACACATGAAAAAAATGCTCCTACACACTCTATCAATTGTATGTCATATTGTACAAAAAAGCGTTGTCTTTACAGAACGTCTTGTTCCATTAAATTGTCCCCACACGTTTTTGCTGCAAACCTGATGTTCTAAGGGCAGAGGTTTATCACATCCATGTTTGTTGTTTGAACAGATCTACTGGAAAAAACAGATGGTGGCTTTCCATTCTTTCGTCGAGCAGGAAACCTTGAGGTGAAAGTCTGCACCAGCTGTTTATCTTCGTACTGAAAGACTCACATTGTTGCTTTGATGCTGTTATTCATGCACAAATCAATGCAGGTCCCACAGTACAGGCTTTAAGCACATTCTGTAATCACACACTGAACCACGAGGAACATCCACACAGAGACATTCTAATCTTCAGACTTAGCATCATAAGATTGATTTGGACCCTGAAGCGGGAGATATTTTTAGCCACTGCTTTTCATATGACTAATGTGATTCCTGTTGTTTTTTATTGCTGACTGCAAAGGGCAAGTCTTCCTGAAATAATGAGACAAAAAATATTAACATAACACTTTCAATTTCTTACTAAATAGGTATATTTTATGAATGAATCACATTTATTTTCATTTGGGCAGACTTCACCATGGCCACTAACAGGACTGTCATTTTATAGAACTAATTATTCTCTGTTGTCTTTCCCCACGTCATGTTTAAAACCCCTCGTTATTTTTCCTGTGTGATGTGAGAGATATATTTCTTACTAGATAACTAACTAGCAATTCTTATCCATCCTTTTATTATCCTCTACACTTTTATTTATTTGTATTATTTCCCACCTTTTCTGCTCTGGATCTTCTTTTCTTCTTTCTCATTTTGCTGTTTGCTGTTTTTTTCAGAAGCAAGACACTGAAGAATACACTCCAGAACCACTTTTCTCACAGCTTGGAGCATGAGCAGAGAATATTCTCGTCTCAGGTATGACTTTCATCCACAAACATCTGTTCTTTTTTTAATATGTTCTTTGTTTTGCAGGCATTTTTTGAATAAACTTCACACAAGCTTTGTGAACTTTCATCCACGTGTTATTGCTCTCAGTACAGTCATTTTCTTTAAGTGGACTTTACCACATTTTGTCACCTCATTATCGCCTTGTCTGTTTGTGTCTGGCTTGACATAACTGTCCTTTTTCATGTCCCTTTCATGTGCCCACACCTTAAACCTTCCTGCTGCACTTGCTGCCTTCAGATGTGCCTCATTAAAAAAGACATGAAGTCACTTCAGGACAAAGTTTTGGCTGAGATGGTGAGTTGACATATTGAAAGTCCCTTATATTCAGTGTTCTTCATCCCATTCCATTAGAAGTGAAAAAACATTGTCGACTCAGAGGTGCATTTTGTAATGTTTATCTTGAGTGTCGCATCCTCTATTGAATGTTTTTCTGTGCTTGTTTACCTTTTGTAGCAAGAAAGAGAAGTCCAGAATATGAAGAGAGGGCTGCACGCTCTGTTTTTCTCCAATGAAACCAGTTTTTAGGTTTACCATTATTATTGTTTATCGGGTTTCCACAGGATGAACAATGTTCTGTATTTGACGCTATATAGTTCAGCATTATTGATTTCGTGTCTGTGTTGGGCTGAGATTAGATGGTTCTGGTTTATGAAATGTGAGTGTGTTGATTAGTCTGCCTGAAACTTGTTAGTAATATGACTGTTTACTTTAATCTCTGTTCCTGATTAGTTTGTGTGGATTACAGAGTAGGGAGCACGTGTTTCTTAAAACGCTTAAAGAGCCCATCGGTTTTTAAACACCTTCCCTGTCCCTTTAAAAAAAGGAAGATTATTAAAACAGTGTTAAAAAATGAGATGATGCTGATGTTCTTTAAAAAAGACCTTGTATTTTGAAGACAAGTAGTGCTTACAAAGTATTTCTCTTTTCAAGTGAAGACATTGACGGCCCCGTTCACGCTGATATACTGTATGTACAGTTGATATCAAGTTTAGTCCCACTTCCCAGACTGCACCGTCTTTACACAGTCCAAGTGACATTTTATTCATCAGTTAACAAAACGGTGAAGCTGGTCACATGCACAACTTCCTCCCACTACATGGATTCACACCGCCCTCTCAAACAAGTTCGTGTAATAGTACAAAAAACAACACTGACTTAATGACAAGATTGTTTCTTTTTTTGTCCTCCACTCTCATCCCGAGAGTCGGAGGCTCCACCAAAGTCCATAAACACCAGCCAGCATTCAATGTAGCGACATCCACTAGTCTTGAAGACACACTGCCGCTAACATTACCGTCGTCTTCGCTCGCAATTCCGTGCTTCCTGGCCATTGACGTCATCATCGTCAAGGTGCTGGAAGAATGTTGGAGACACACTGAAGACGAGGGGCTTAAGGCTCTTTAAACAGTCACCACTGAGCAGCTTGAAGCAGCATCAGAACATTTCAAAGCTCAGCTTTTCTTCACAGAAGAAACTCCACACTCACTTTCATGGCCTGTGGAACCTGGACACAGACACAGAGAGAAACCATCTGTAGAGTCATAACAGCATGAATCACATGTGCAGAAGGTGACTTTGTTATTCCCCGAAGGCATCGTGCCACAGCAGTGTTTCAGCACAGTCATTTAATGGACTAGGAGACACAACAGGACAGAACATACACCAGGTCCTCGATCTCCTTTTAGTCTAAAGCTCACCACCAAGGTCCTCTGCACTCTGAACAAGCTTAGCCAAGGACATGGCAGCTTATTATCACCCCTTCCGATGCACGCGTCCCCTCTCTGCAGGACAACCTCACCCATCCCCCCACAGTCAGAAACACTCCCATCTATCTTTAGGCTCCTCAGTGCCTTCTACACGAGCGAGTAGAGCTAAATTTAGAACACTGCAGCCCAGAATAGAACACATACGCCATGCATAATCAAACACAAACACAGACAGGCACCATAGAATACTGACCTCGTTAGGTGTTTGCTGGAGGCATGCACTTCCATCTCAGTACTTTTGAATTCGTTCAGCTCTTTTCGGATTGCGGCCTGTGGGGAAAAGGAACATGAGCGTTTCGTGTAAGTTTTAAGTGCATCTGAAGCCAGTGGGGAAACCTCCAGCAGTAATGTCACAGCAGGAGGAAGAAAAGGCATAACAAATAACTCCAGGGAGCATGGGGATTAGATAAGCCCATTAATGTTTAAAAGTAATATAAATATATCATTACTTTGTGTTAAACACATTGAATCACCCAAAAACAACACTGTAAATATAACTATTATCCTTCGGCAGCAATTATCTGATTTTTAGACTCAAACTATGAAACATCTTTGATATTTTACAATTTTTTTATGAAATCACAAAAAAAAATCTGATCTCAATATTCTATAATGTATATATTTTGTGGCCTCTGAAAAAAACGTGTTTAATGGTTTCATTACAATTATGATGCTTCAATATTATTTTCTATATTCTTGGACCTAAGTCGACAAATCAAAAAATGACTGCCTTAATCCTTAGTGGTAAAAATGTTTAAGATTCTAACAACATGGACGGATGGAAGATCTTACAGAATTTGGCTCTGACGTTGAACTGATCATTGTCTTTAATGGTGTGTGTTGCTAGTTGTTTGCGTGTCTTCAAATACAGATAACTAAGATAATGTTGCTTCCATCTTAGTGTGTTTTCCTGTGCAAACACACACCTTGTCTGCTGCTGAGAGCCGGGTCCAGGGCTTGTCTGCTCTCCTGTCGTAGTCCTGAGCTTTGGCCACCTCCACATAGTCACTAAAGCGGATCAGAATCTTTCTGTCTCGCAGTTCATCCACTGTGGGACGCTGGTTCAACTGGAACACGGAAAATGAGAAAAACATTTATGGCAAACTGCAGTATTAAAGTAAAAAAATAAAAACACGTAGTAAATACTTTAAATTTGTACCTTTCTATTTAGCCGCTGTTTAATCTCCCTTCTCTCCTCCTGCTCTGTCTGGTCATTTCTCTCTGAAAGAGAAACAAACAACAACATTTACTGAGAGCCCTACATTGACAGTTAAAGGAACTTTTTGGTCAAACTTTAAGATTCTACATAAATAGTCCCCAGGTCCATCACCTTAGTGCCATTAATGTGTAACTATAGTGTGTGTGTGTTGTGTGACATTTAATCTCTATGTGGGCAGCTGCATGGTTTTAGCAGCTTTCAGCTTCACCATGGTTCACAGTAAAGGAGGACATGTGCAGTCATGCGTTCTTTTACTCTTGAATAATGTACTACACAAGGCAATCTGTGCCATCATTAATGCATGTTTGTCTACATGTATCCAGTGAGATGCAGGATTTTTACAGATTTTATGCAGTTTAAACAATGGCAGCTGTAAGAAGAGAGGTTTTATAAACTTACGTTTGAGGATGTTCCTACTCTCCAGCTCCTCCACATTCGGTCTCTGGCTCAGCCTCCTGCGGAGAAACACCAACACCACGTTTTGAACCATTGTCCAACCCTAACGTCTTTATACCGGCTGTAGTTTCTTGACTGTGCGCGTTCTGGACAGGAATCCCCTATGTCTCCATCTCGCATCCAAACCACGGCTGTGTTGTTTTGGCAGAGACGCTCCCCACATCTGGAACAATGCGAAAAGCCTACGCTCCCTGTTGGTTTGGATTAATTCTCAACCAATTTTTAGCAAATATCCAGATGCTGCATTTCCAGTGCAGCTGCAGTGATGGCTGGTTTTACTGTGAGCCGCAGCAGCAGCAGCAGCTTCTCTTCTCTGCTCCACCACTGACTCTTTTGAAGTGGGTCGTGATGGACTGCTGGGGCGAGACTCCCTGAGTCTCCCTGGTTACTACATGCATAATTTGTAGTGGGCGGAGCCACAGCCACAGGCTTCCACTCACGGCATCCCCCGTCCTCCCCCTTCTTGCTCTACTCTACTCTACACTGGGCTACAGGCTCATTCTCTCCACTCACGCTGCATCACAGTGATGTATTTTGGGCATCTAAGAGGAGCATTTGCTTGAAACGGTCAAGAACTGTTTGAAATGAGAACAGAGGGATCTTGACAGATTAAAAAGACTGATGGTTGTTTACTGCTTGTTTTAATACACGCACACTTACCAGTAATCAGTTAAAATACTGTCAGTAGTTTTAGCTTGACTAAGATTTGCTTACAAGGTACACAACACCTATGTATTTAAATGTAAAATCTGCTCTTGTTCCTTATTCCTCTGTCCTACAATGATGAACAAACATCGTTAGTTTTGGCCTGGACTGTATGTAAAAAATAAACAGAGCTGTCTGGATACAAATAGTTTTTGAAAGAAAGATTTAGATCAGATGTTTGAAACTAAGTCCATATGAAGTCAATAAGAAAATGGTTTATGATATAAAACAACATTTTCCTGAACAGTTTTAGAGGCACTGCCTCAAAACAGACAATAATTTAAAAAACGTACAAACTTTTCCAGCATGTCCAAGGACCTACAGTACATTGGATGGCCCAGTTTTTTTATTCATCATTATTAACTACAGTGTTTTTTTCTAAATTATTCAGTCATTTCCAAAATCAGCAACATCAGCTTTGATTGTCATCAACCTAACAAATACACAGGACAGAGAGAATACCAAAAGAAACAGGGAGCTTGTTTTCCAGGTCTGAACCAGTGACTTTTTGTTGTCAGTGTTGTTTCGAACAACTACTGCGTCTATTGGATCAAAATGCTTTTGCTTACGTTTGCCTATCTGTGAAAAGCACTAGCTTATTATTTGCAATCAAACTATGCCCACATCATGTACATTATTTTTGCTTATCAGAGTAAAGTGAATATCTTGTAGATGGAGCTTAAAACCTTAAAATGAAAAATCAAACTAACACTTCAAAAGTAAATAAAAAACACATAAAATAATCAAAAACCATTCTTCCACAACAGCTGAAGCCCTACGGTAGTCACGTTTTCATGAAGCCGTCACGTTCCCTGTGCCATCAAAGCATACAAAAGGTCTCCAGAATCCAAAGTGTTTCCAGTGACCCCTGTGATTGTCACCTCTTCATACGAATAAGTTATCAAAGTGAGCTGCACAGCAGGGTTCGTCTTTGGACATAGTGTGGCGTGTCCCCAGCACACCTCCAAAGGTTGAAAAGGACAGTGAGGGTAGAATGTCACCACGCAGCATGAATCCAGTTTATCCCTTTAATCACATTACGACTGGATTCTTTGTCTCCCTCTCCAAAAGTAGATGAAAGTGGGGTCACGTACACTGAGACACAGGCACAAAGCAGTTTTCATGTGTCACACGTGAGCAATGGGTCGTTATTAAAAAAATAAATACAGTGCACTGTAGAGAATGGTCACGTGGCAACAATTATTATATTAAAGTTAAATACCTACTGTATATATACATACATCATGCAGGCTACTGCTGGTTAGGCCACTGTGTTTATGCTAACAACTACTTTTCAGACAATTTTCATTTCTATCTCATTATATAATTTATAATTTCTTAACAAGTTGATTTATCTATTTACAGTGTTTGGAGTCTGTTTTTTTAGTCAGGGTCTGCATTGAAGCCTGGGTGGGCAGATTCAGTCCATAGTTTAATCCACAAAGCTAAATGCCTCTGTGCTCTTCTGCCTTATGTAACCAGAATGGTGCTGAGGTTTGTTTGTACCGAGGTGTAACTGCACTGGCAGTGAAGCGAGACAAGAATTCACAGAAACGTGTGAAAGAACTGAGGGTTATTTTTAAACCCCTTCATAATCAATAAAGTCTACACTGAGAATAAAAACAAGCTAGAAAACAGACTTCCACTACAAGCATGTTTACAACCAAGGTATTGAAGAACAGCCTTTGTAATGAGAGAACTTGACTGATGAAAATATATATTCAAGATAAAACATATAAAATATAATTCTAAAAGGTGTCTGATTAAAAAAAAACCAAACATGTTAAGACACTTGTCTCGGGCTTCTCCAACAGCCTTGAACTGTTTTCTCATCAAATCTTTGGCAAGTGTTGGCAAGCATTAGTTTCATCGCACTGAAAACAAGTTTAGAAAATACGAGCAAACATATTTTAAACTAAACCTAAATATAGAGTCTTTCCAGTTATAGATGCACAGCTGCAGGTTTTGAACTAGCGACATCTTTTATTTTTCTCATTTATAAACTGAACTCTATCTATATTTATATATATTAATAATAATAATAATAATATTTGTACTATCTTGAAGTATAAGCACCAAGCATGTGGTTCCTCTGGGAATCGAACCCAGGACTCTTTGCTTCTGAGGCAGGCGTGCTAACCACTGCACTATGTAAAATAAATAACTAAACACTTATATATATGAATATATTTATCACATATATTTGCATCACAGCTCCTGCGAAATTGATTGGAGAGACCAAAGTGTTCCCAGGGCTCAGACTGTTACATTTTAAACAGATGCAACAGAAAGTCACTCCCAGAGTTCTAGTGAATCGAAGCAACAACTGTAATATTGACCTGATCACCCAGTTGCTTAGCAACAAGCCACCGTACCTTCCAGACAATAAGAGTCTTTGGCAGAAATTTTCACTTCTCCTTAGCAACACAGTGATGGGGGTTTCTCACCACTGCACTGCTCTGCTGTGTTTGCTTTACAGGGAAACTGAGGCTATTTTTAGAAACGCACTCCTTGACTTTTTTTTTACCATCCTCTGAATCGTGCTCGCGCTCCATATTAAATTCTATTTTGGTAACAAAATTCATATTTCCTTCATTGTGAGTACAATGAACCGCAGTGGTTCCCACTCTGAGCTGCTCTCTGGTGACAGATAACACTATTTTGCAGAGGAAAACACACAGACTCACTGCAGTATGTTCTTGGCCACTGCTTTCTATACGGCCACAGTATGCAAATATTTTCAAAAGTTGCCTCCTGAGCAGAACCTGGTAAATGTATCTGTGACCAATGCAGTCCTTTTTGTACTTCTAATTCAAGTAGTGGTACCATATGTTGACGTCTCCTCATATACTGTAAGCTTAATTTCCTGGGTTAAATTATTGCTATTGACTAAACGTAATGGAAATAACTTGGTAAATATCAAGTCCCACCCAGTCGTCAATCCTGAGTCTTAATTAGGTTTTTATGGCTCACTATCATAAGCTAAATAAATAATACAGTGGGTTTTTTATGGCTAGTCTTTGCTAAATTAGCTACTCCGTACCCAATGTTTAGTTTCCTCCTCACTATATCTTTTTTATTATCAATGTAAATAGCTGATTCAGCCATTTACAACATCGTAGGAGAATGAAAACCATCAAGTTATTATGTTTCTCCAAATGTATGCTTTAAAGTGACCAGTGAATGAAAAGTGGAGCTTAAGCTACTGTTACCAACATTTAAATGTTCTAAATCCAATGGGGTTTGATGTATTTGAGTTGTCACTAAAGAAACATCTCGTGTTTTTACATTGCTTTTTGGTAAATTTGAATATGAACATCTACTGAAAATGAATTGAGTAGAAAAGGATTAAAAGAAATTAATAATAATCCAAGAACAGCAGATGGATCAGCAGAGGCATCTTTTGCTGGTTGTGCAAGGGCACATGCTGACACCTCCAAAACACAGTCGCACACATTATTTCTGCTGATATAAGCCCTCGACAACACATTGGCGAAGAGGGGAGATGCATTATTGAACAGTGACACGAGCTAGGAATAGAAACGGCAGAAAGTCTCTGCAGCAAGGTGCCAGGCTGGGAGTCTAAAGATAGAAAGGTCATCTATTACCGACACGACGCACTGACAAGGTGTCATTATCCACCCAGAGTCCTGATGGGTGATTTCTGCTTGATTAGCAGCAAAGGAACGGGGGAGGACAAGGGACAATGTAATCTGAAAGTGAGGTCAGCCACAGAAAACAGGAGAAGTCTGTCAGATGGATCGTTTTGTGATTGTGTTTGCAAAACCCCGGGGAAATCATCTGCAGTCCTCTTCACCACCCTGCTTCTATATTTAGCCCGGAATCCCACAAATGGTGCAGTAAAACATCAATGCTTTGTTCTAAAGGATGAAAGTGCACTTTTCTGAATATAGTATGCCTGCTATTTAAAGTTAACGTATACACAGAGCTCTTTAGGAAAGCCTAGCATCACGTGAAAATAGTACCTTGTTTATTTTGCGATGGCTCAAAGTGATGTGTCAATCATGTGGAAAAATATCAAATATGATAATTAACATAAATTAACCAACACGGGAGACACTTTATGTGCATGCATTATGCATTATTAGCTTAGCTTAGCATTTACTACTAACATACATTACATTTTATCATTACTGTAGAGGTTGACTTTAACGTGATTTGAAGAGTCTATTCGCAACTGAAAAAAAGTTTAACAAAAGACTCCTGAGCTTCTTATTCAGCAGATAATTCATTTTCTTTAAATCTTTGAGCTATTTTACCCTCAAACAAAATTTTAGAGTTTCGATCTTCACATGTTATAACAGCCATAACCTAAGACTAACCGTCGCAGCACATTTACGAGAGGCGTGTTTTTAGGACGCATTTAAAACTCCATTAACTGATGCTGCTGCTAGGAAGCCCTGTAGCAAATGTCTTAGTTTTGTTTTTACAGTTCTAGGAACCTGTGTCCGTAAATATATTCTGTTCTGGTCAAGAAATCAACCACGGCTGTGATGTGAAATAAACAGGTCTGTAACAAGTACCGTCTTTCACTGCTGTGCTACAAACGCAGCCCCTCTGTCTTCAAAGCCCTGACCCCGGCTGGCTCTTATGCAAGCTACAGTCATGGTTCATTTCTATCTTTTTTTTTCATAGCCTTTGCACTTTCCCTTTATGAAGTGAAAAACAAAAACATTAAAACATTTTCTTCCAGACGGTCTACGAATGGAGGAGGAGGGCAGTGCGTATTCTTAGCTGCCGCACAGACAGACAGACCAAAGATTCTTTTTCTCTGAAGTGTGGGAGGCACACCGGCTGTGAGTTTTCACACAACAGGTTATGTAACGCTGTGTGTGTGCGCTCAGTTTGATGCACTGGTGTTAAAGAACTGCAGTGCATTTGCACAGAAGTCTGTTGCTCTCAGTTAATTTTCTCAGTGCCATTTGAAAAGCCAATTCTAAAAATGTGCTGGAGAGAAAGCACAAAGTGTCCTGTATGAAAAGGCATCTGTCTGTACCTGATGCACTCAGGCCACTGTTCCTGCTGTAATTAGCATCAGGTCATTTACTGAACAGGCGCTGATTTAACGTGTAAAATACATTTTATACCTAGAAGATTAGGGATTTTAACACAGACAGGTCTCAGATTATGACCTGAAGTAAAACGTGTTTGATGAAGTCTTGGCCTCAGAAACTGTAAACATCTATACGTATGGCTCTCCTCCTGTTGCATTTTATGTAACAGAGCCGATGAAAGTCTCATGGGATTTGTGTCGTACCATGAACAGAGTATGTACAGTATGTGTGTGTGTGTGTGTGTGTTATGTGTAAAGAGGAGACACGCGATGTTCAGTTCAATGCAGCCAGAAAAATATCTGTCAGAATGTGAAAGACAATAACATGAATTAATTGAAGTGTTAATTATCATATTACCTTAAATATAGGTATAGGCAGAGTGTAAAGACTTTTATCTTTTGAGCTTTTTTAAAAAAGTAAGGTTCACAAGAAAATACATATTTTCTTCACCTAAAAATATTTTTTGAGTCTGTGTTAAAAAAAAAAAGCTAAGGAATAAACCGTTCTGTGGCAACGTGTCTATTGGCTGTTGGTTAGCAGCCTGCTAGCCAACTGTCTTCTAACTGGCTGTCGGTTCACGTGTGAAAACAGCACAAAAACCTGCATGTGTTATTTGAGATTTCTGAGTGTGACTTCAAGGTCTCACAGGAGACTATTGACAAGGAAGTTTCAGTGTTTACGTGATTTAAATTGAACTTTTCTAAAAACATGCTAATATATATTTTTGGCTAAATTTGTATAATAATTATATATTTTTTAAAAATTGTAATATGGCCACAGCCAGTTCTCATGACTGAGACTATAGTTTTCAATAAAAAGGGTCTTTGTGTCATACAGAGAGTAGATCAACATTAACAGGTTCAAATATCTGTAACCAGAAACTTCTCCTTCTTCCAGACTCTCACTTTTCAGTTGAATGGTAATTAAACGCCTATTTTTTTTTTTTGCATTTAGTCTTGGATCCAGACTGATGGGTAATGAAGGGAGGTGGATCTACTTACTTGGCAAGTTTCATTTCAATTTGCTGGCGGATTTCCTGGCGTTCCTGGTCACTCCTGACTGGAAAGATGTTCCTGTCTTCCAACTCTTGCTTGGTGGGTCTGTTTCTTAGTTTAACAGCCAACAATTCCTTCCTCAGCCTGCGAGGAAGCGTGCCTACAAATGTGTATAGACAGGTCAAAGGTCATTTATTGTACTGCCTGCCTTTACCATTAAAAAATGTATAAAGTAGACAAGTGTGGAGTCAAAAAAAATGTGTATACAATAGCGTATAACTCTAAGTCAATTTTAAGTAATATTAGAATTTTTAAGTCTTTTAAATCTACTTGGTCACAATAACAACATTGGTCTCTTCAACCCACCAGAGATGACAGAATCATTCCAGCCATCCAGGTCCGTGGGGAGGCCTGAGGTGTTGGAGAAGCACTGGTCCAGCCGTACGTTCTCCTTGTTCTCCTCTGCCTCCTTTTTGGGCCAGTCAGAGCTGCCACCTGCCGCACAGCCGCCCACCATAGAGAGTGTGTGCTGGTTCTCAGAGCTACAAGAGCGAGAGAGACGCCCATCTAAGCACCACAATCGTGGGGGTGAGCCCTGCTCACACCCTTCGTGGACACTGAGGAGAAAGAGAAAGATTTGATACTGACGTCTGTGACGAATAGAAACCAATCAACACCTGGGGTTCAGATGGTCAGCTCACCTCTCCTGTCTGTTCTTGGAAGCAAACGCTCTCTGCAGTTCCTCCATGATGCAGCTAGGGGGCATGGGAGGATGGATCATATTGCCTAGGTGTGGGGAACCTGAGTTGGCCAGTGGCACTCGTAGTGGCAGGGTCATGGAAGCCATGCTTTCTGTGGCCCTGGGTGGAGGCTCCTTTGGGAGGTAGGAGTTGGGCAGGTGACTTGGTAGAGACACAGGCCCTGAATCTGCCCACAAAGACACCATTTAAAAATAACAGGTTGTACCTTTAATTTCCATTCTTTAATATCAGTGCTCTTCCTAATCATTTTTCGAATTAATGGATTTTTCCCAAAACTTGACAGCGCTCACCGTCTACGTTGGATGGAAGCTTCTGAGGCAGAAGTTTTGGAGGTACTTGCGGCGGAGACGTTCCAGGAGGGATCTCCTCCGATGTTCTATCTTCTACTTGGTCTACGTCCTGCAGTCCGTCAGGTAAATCTGCTGCAGGGTTCAGATTCTCCTCTCCGCCCTCCTTAGGTAGTGGTACATTCTCCTCTTCGTGTTCACAGTCTTGTAGAGGTGAAGCTACTAGGAAAAAAACAAAGATGGAACTGACTGTAGCTCAAAGAAGACATGCAGTTACTGTGTGAAAGACTTGGGTGGTGGCTAAAAGTAAATTGAATAAACATCAATTGCAGATGAGACATACAGTAAGATGATTGGTCACAGCAGCAAAGGGCCACAAAATTGCCACAACTGTCCTTGTAGAGTAAGAAACAAGGCAGTGATTTGAATTAATTTCTGCTGAAACATCAGTGTGTTGTGGTCAGAATGTAACATATATTAATATATTAATCTAACATATATTAATATATAATATATTAATGTAACATATATAAATAGTTCCAGTTGCTTCATGTTTTGTCATAGTGTGGGACATGTTTTCTTCGTCCACTTTGTGATCTTTTGTAACTTTTAGAAAGCAACAGCCTGTGGCGGTCTCTGCTAATTGTATTGCCTTTGCTGCCATCTACCGGAGAAACTGCAGTTAACTTTCACAAACAATGTTTGTGAATGGTTTTTTTTAGGTACAATACTATTTATTTAAGTAAAATATTCAAAAAAGTTATCTTATTTTAGTCTCCTTAAAACGTTTTAGCCTCTTTATAGGTAGAATTGTATCCCAATTGATTATTTTAATTCATCATGTCCTGATGACAGTGTGGTTAGTGACGAAGTCTCCTACCTGGTGAAGGGTGATCCTCCTCAGGACCGAGGTACTCCACACTGCTGACTGCTAGATTGGGGCTCAGAGTTCCCCCAAAGCCAATCAGGACGGCACCTTCTGAGCAGCAACCTTGTGTGGGGGAGTTTGGGTCGTGGCATAGAAGTCCACTGNTATGTGTGAGGTTGTTGGAGCAAGGCTGGAAAAATGACAATCATTAATCCACTTTGTACAGTATGTAGGTAAAAGAGAAATGTTGTTTTCCAGAAAATACTAGTATCCACCGCTGTATCTGATTCCAGATGGAAAAAAAACAGAAACACCCTCATTATTTCTTGTATTATATTTTCTGACATACAGTCCAGATGACCTGTTGTAGTAATATCTGAAGCTTTCAGGATGTACCATGTTTTAGTTATATTTAATGAAAATATATTCTAAAAATAAATACAATAAACCATATCAATAATAAGTAGCTGTCCACACAACCAAGTTAATTCAGCGAAAGAATAAGAAGTGCTAGAAGAAATAGTCCCCCTCCCCCACTCCCCCCTGAGGCTGTTCCTCACCTGTAGAACTCTGCTTGAGCTTTTCATTTTTCTTTTTCCTCCACTTCCAGGGCTTGAAGATACGCCCCAGGGTGGCCAGCTTGCTGTTCCGTCTGATGGGAGGAGTGTGGACCCCGGACACTAGACAACCTGTCCTTAGCACCCTCTGCTGGTCGACCAACTCTGCTGCAGATACAGAGGAAAGAACGCGTATTACAGTAGAAGGAGCTGGTAAGAGTTTGAGTTTGAATGGATGACAGTGGAGTCACAGTAGGAAGTGACGAAATCAGGAAACAATTAGGAGAGAGAGAGAGAGAGATATAGATAGATAGAGAGAGAGTGTGTCTTGATCATATTAGCCCAGCTAATTTAATCTGTTCACAGCAATTAAGAGTCCATCATGGTTTATTTAGTAAAGTGAGCAAACTAATTGTGTTCAAGCTCTCTCTCTCTCTCTCTCTCTCTCTCTTTCTCTCTCTCTGTGAGCGAAAGAAAAACCCAATCAAAATGTGTTGAGTACATGAGAGATATTAAATGATGTTTTTACTGCGAGGCCACCAGGTGAGCCAACAGGAACTGTGATGTCTCTCTGCTGAAAGACTCTTTAGTCCAACAAACTGCCCCCATTCATGTCCTTTATTCCACTTTTGCCGACTGTCCTTAGTTATTGACATTTGAATGTTGGATCATTAGAACCAAAAGTCACTGGTCACAGACAGTGCAGTTAGCAAACTAAAAATAGTACATCTGTCAATGTCCCCCAGGAAAGCTGAAAAATATCTTTGAAATGGACCATGATAAAAGTTCATCCACCATCCGTCCGTATCATTTCAATACATATAATCACATGACATGAGAGCAGAGAGAGGAGTTTATGAATTCTGCACTTCCATCCCTGCATCAGGAGGCTTTTCATCTCTCATTAAAGGAAGTGTTTCAATGAACGATGGCTGTGACTCATAGTGTATGAAGCAGAGTTCTGCAGGTTTGTGCGCGCACACACACACACACACACACACACACAGGAGCTGCTGACTCCCTGCATGTATCCTGTCACACCAGTCACACACAGTGGAAAGGAAGAAGAGCTGCACAGCGAAAGTGACGGCCATGTATTTTAAAGTCAAATGTGTCAATTGTGACAAAAACAGAACAATAGCTGCCTCCGTAAGGATCGTTTCTTTGTTCAAATGTTCATCCAAGAATGGGGGGGGGGGGGGGGGGATAGGGGGGTGGGGGGGAGAGGAAACCACAAAGTGATTCGGGGACTACGTTGTTGGAGGAGGGAGACACAGCTGACTCCTTTTCATGATGTTTTACTTTACCGGTCCTTACACAGAGATATGAGGATTCAGAGACGATAGTGGAGGCAGGGTTGGGTGAGGTGGGGGAGTGAAGCAGAGTCAGGGAGAGGAAAGACGAGAGAAACGGGAAAATATAGGGAGGTTAATTTACAAGAGGAAAATAAAAACAAAAAAACAAGTGAGGTGTTAAAGGATTTGGAGGGGAGGATGATGATTGGACTGGACGTCTGACCCTTCAGCTTCCTGGAAACAGGTCAGTTGACTATGCGGTCAATGTGCGTGCTGTCACTGCACATTCAGTGTGGCAGACGCAGCGGCGCACGCAGAATTCAGGTCAAGCTTGAAAGAAATGCACCCAAGTCAAGACATGAAAAAAGCTGAGGATAAGGGGGAGAATTCGAGGGTTGGTGGGGTACAGGCGTCCGTGTGAGTAGAGAGAGCTTGTGCATGTGTGTGTGTGTGTGTGTGTGTGAGTGAGCTGTGAAAGGAAGAGGAGTCAGGCCCTCTGCTGTTGCCATGGCGACCAGAATCCAGATGCTGTCGCAGCAGTGGGAGCCAGCGGGAGGAGCACGTCAGTCTGTAGCTCAGAGGAGAAAGAGGGGGAGAAAACCCCCCTCCCCCCCGTATCGACACTACCTGCCACATCTAAAGCGAGTGGCAGCAGTGCAGCACCCAGTGCATTGTGGGTAGGTGCAGAAGCCACATGGAGGACGATACAGTAGCAGCTAACGGCGACATGTGTGGAGGGGGAGGGGGGGGGGGGGGGGGGGAGGGGGGAGGATACAGAGGGATTCCAGGGAAAATAGGCAGAGAGGGAGAGACGGGATGGGGCTGTTGCTATACGGAAGAGCTTGCAGGAGAATCCAGGGCTCGACCAATCGCAGAGCAGCTATTTATAATGCATATCAAGTAACTTCATTTTTCATAGACAGGGTGCTTGTTGAGAGAAAATGACGGGCGTCTGAGCAGAGCCCATGAATCAGGTGATAACACATGCAGGCACACGGGGAGCTTCCATTTATCCAGCGCTTGAGCATGTAATAAAATGTGTGTGAGATAAGTGTGATTGGACGACACGCAGCATGTGGCCGTGATGTGAGATTCCAATTAATACACTAATACAAATAGGATTTGACTAATCCCTGTGTCAGGCGATTGCAGTCGGAGCAGAGGTTGCCTACAGTACGGTCCTCTCCAAAACAATGTGCACACACTGGGTGGTGTCACGGCTCCGCACGAGATGGAAGATTAGTAAATCTCAATGGTAAAAAAAAAAGAAAACATTTCATTTAAAGCATCAGCAGTGCAGACGAGCACATAAACACTACGACCTCTAAAGCCAGTGCTGCATTAGTGCAGCGTCAACTCACATATGATTTAAGAACCAAATAAAGTAGACAATATTCTAATGTGACTTGGCAAGAACCGCTGTAACAGAGTGCTTCAGTGTGGACCACACCCCACTTACCACGGCTGTCAGCACATTCAAGTCCACAAGATCTGTCTCCACCGGCCCACAGGAGCCGCGGTGGGAACTGAGCGGAGTGTGTTTGTCACTTTCAAACAGTTCTCTGTCAGTGACAAAGTGACAAAACTCTATTTCCTTTTACTGATAAGTGCAAAGAGCTGTGATGTAAGGAGTTACACTGAAGGGGTGTCAGTGGCCTTTTATCCAGAACCTCATCCAGGTCACTGAAAGGTCATGTGTTTTTTTTTTCAATCACATAAACTATAATTTAAAGACCTGACTGTTATACATCCCTAAATTCAGCAGCGGTAAAATTATGTAATCTTTGGCTAAACTGCACACAGTCCATTAAGCCTTCATTTTCCACTAGCAGGTGTTTAAACCTCTTAAAAAGAACTCACTCTGTGGAATATCAATGCTGAAAAGGCCTTGAGGGCTTGTTCACTTGGTGTGAAAATACTATTTGCCATAGAGTTACAGTGAAACTTTAATGACCCTTTCAGTAGAAAGTGTAATAAATCTGGGGCGATCTCTTTACTTCTTTCCTCAGGCAGCATCTCCCCAGTCCTCTGATTAATGACCCTGTGACACAGCATTACTAATACAATGAATTACAAGCATTTGCAAACAACAACAACAACAACAACAAAACCTCAACACTTTAGGATTCTAACATCAGAGTATTCCTACAGTTCCCTAGAACCAACACTGTCTGTCTCTAGCTCAGCAGTTCGCGGTGATTGTTTTATATCAATGTTTTTACACAGTACAGCCTGTCGTCCTGTGTGGTTGATAATATTGTGAAAAGATAAAGATAACCTGATGGAGATTATGAGGAACTGCTGCCCAATGTGTCTGGCTTCATGGTTTTAGGTCAAGGTTTACAACTGTGATTAAAGTTTGCTAACGATATAAAAAATACGATGAAATACCTAATATCCCAATCAGAAATACTCTACTTTGTAGTTCCCAGAGGAGTCAACTATTTTCACAGGAAGTTAGAAAAATGCATGTTATTTTTTATAAGCACATACATTAATCTGTGAAATACGTATTCACTGTGTGCACCGAATGATGTGCAGCTAAATACCCAAAGTCCCAGCCTCCGTCCAGTTATTGTTGTTCTCATACACTGTGGACACACACTGTTTACACACTGTGGGGAAGAGTTTTTGTTTCACTGAAGCACCTCGAGCTCAAAGTACCATTTGAATGCTAATACTGTTGAGGACAACGTCTTCACTGAAGTGTTGAAAGCCAATCTAGACCACAATCACAATGACTGACTGTGTATATTTATCACAATTAATCACGATTAGTTGTAATTAATCTACAACTGCCCAATTATATATGTATACATTAATATATACATATATACTGTATATAGACACGTGTGTGTGTATATATTTATATATGTATAGAGAGAGACAGGCAGAGAGAGAGAGATACAGTACTATATATAGTATGTATATGTAGTTCAACATTTGTTCACCTTGAGAAATATTTCTAGCAGATAACACATCACTGGTGACTTCACTGAGGTTTTACCTCATCTGCCTTTGCTTTGAGTCTGGGTGAGGCCACACCCACAGGAGAGAGCGGGGAAGGGACAATCAGGACAGCAGTGGTGCATCGATGCCAGGTTCTGAGTGTGTGAATGAATGTGAAGAGGCTGCATCACTATGCAGATCCATCCCTATTCTGTGGTCGGACGTTCTGTCAATACAATCATCGTTAATCTTGGGGAGCGAACTGTACCCGTGATAGCGCCATCTAGTTCTACCTCCGTCCTGTCACTGTGTCTTTGAATAACAACAGACAGTCACGTGACTTCCTTCATCTCCACAGACACCACAGCGTCTTGGATCTTCACTCCAGCCTCCTCCTCCTCCTCCCAGTCCAGGCCACTGACGACGTGCCCTTGAATGGACCACCCTCTTATCTACTGCTACACCAGCTGACCTCCTCTCTTTACCCCCCCCCGCCCTTGCAACTGTGCTGCCATCTGTCTGTAGCCCTGCTGCCTCAGGGACCTGGACACAATCAGGGTACGCAGCTAAGAACTTTGCATGGAGACAGTGAGCAGGGGGAATTACAGCAGTGTGGAAAGAGAAAGGAGCGAGAATGTGAAATGGGGAAAAAACAGTTGTAGTCAGACTTTCATTTCCAAAACAGAGGCAAAAACAAAAAAAAAAAGCTTTAAATGAGACTTAAAAAATATTAATTTATAAATACTAGTTAAATACAGATTTTATCTATCAAATGTATCATGTCATGAGAAACATTTAACAATTAATTCAGCCAAAATATCACCATTATTTCCCTCTTTGTCCTTTATTTACAGGGAAAACAATTTGTTTCTCCAAAGCTCGACCATTCACACAGATGTAAACAACAGAAACATAACAAACTGTTTACCCTACTTAATAGTTCAGAGCAGCACTAATCAACAAGTACTGACCTCAATAAAACCAAAACAAGTTGTGAGTCATCGCTGCATGGATCTGAGCGAAACACATTTCTGAGAAAAAAAAAAAGAAATCATGACGTGGTGTGTAAGGCTGTGTGACTCTGCAAAGGTCCTTTAAGTGATTACAGTCTACAGTAAGTGTGAAAGTCCAGTGTGTGGGCAACTGGCATCGAGACAGAGTGGAATGATGTCAGCGAGGCCGGCAGCCAATAGGAGGTGTCTGAGGCCCTTGTTTGTTACCATATGTTGAGCATTGGGTTTAGAGAGAGGCTTCGCTCATAAGCCTTTGCTGCAGCATCAGCAGAGACGACTGCAATGAGTAAACCTGAGTGTCGTGAACATTTCAAACACTGAGATAAACCCTGAACATTTGCTTCATGTAACATCAGTGATTTTTAAATGAAAAAGAGTGTTAAAGATTTAGTAGAATATTTAGGAGTATGGTATTCAGGAGTTAGCTTAAAATGTAAACACGTAAATCGTATGTAGGTTTGTTTTGTTCTAGAAATGCATGGTGGTACATTTTCTTCTTTCCTTTCTTTTTAATTTCTACTACTGTATGTACCAGTATTAAATAGAGCTAATAATTTTCAAAACACTAATGTTGTTAGCTATTGAAAAGCCAAGAATATTTCAAAGAATATGGAGGTTTAGGTTAGAAGTTAGTTGGAAATCTCTCATTAATTCTTTTTGTGTGTCATACGACAACATCTTTTAACTTATGCACAGTCAGGCCGTAGCTTTAAAACCAACATGTGGCTTAAATTAAGAAGTCTTGTTAGAGGTACTGTATTTTGCCACCCATGTGTTTTGTAATTACCCAGAACAGCATGTACACAAACATTCCCAGGGTCCATAAAAATGACACTTTTAGAAACTCTGCTGCATTTCAACCAAAAACAAGACGTTGTGAAGCTCTCGACGCAGAGATCAAACCTGGGGCCAGAACTGTTGTGACGAGAACCTGTTACCTTCAAAATATACAGTAACAGTCTCTGTTATTTTAACATTGTCTCTGAGCAGCAACAACCAGAGCAGAAACCTGTGTTCAACAACACAGTCTGTAGTTTTTGTTTTTATTTTAAACACCATATTGATCAATCTTAGAAATGTTTCCTCTTGAGGTATGTTTTATGTACAATAATATTTGTAGCCAAAGGCATGCCACCTTGTCTTCACACAAAAAAAAAAACTTTCAAGATTAAATATCCAATCAGTTTATCCTAAACACGGCAGTTGCCAAAGTGAGCGGACACCTTTAGGTCTGGTGCACAAGAGTGTGAGACGGTGGTTTGTCATGAGATGGAGGCGTTCAGTCGACGAGTCCTGTTCTAGACACTAGTAGCACAGTGAGGTGGCTGAGCCATGCTGTGATACTTTATCTCCTGTTATATCTAATAATTTAGGTCAGAGTCTGAATCATTTATGTTACACGTGCTGCCTGTGAGAACATGAGAATTAGCCTCAACAACTGATGTTGATCCTGACGGCTGTGGTANCTCAGCATGTCCTGGTCTCCAGAGCTCAGTGACAGAGCAAATCTCCTCTGTTAGCTCTGTTTTCTCCAAAGCAGGTTCCCACAGAGAGTATGCCACTCATTCCTCAATTCCCTAAAACACAATGCAGTAGTGGAACCAGAACAGGGAGCTGTGCAGCACAGCAGTGTGCCGAGCTGCTGCTCCACAAGGGAAGAACAAAGAAAATAGGTTAAAATGACAATTATCTGTGTAACTGTGTGAAAAACTAAACCCGTCCGTGGTCCTGGAGCTAAAGTAGAAGATGAAGATGACGATGTGATGCCAGATGGTACAGACATAAATGAGGGACGTGACTGTAGTGTGAAGCCCCAGGCTAATACTGTATATCACCAGATTCTTTGACACAAAAAGGGATCTGAACATGTGGCTGGAACTGTTTGTGTGGTTTAATGAGAAACCCCTAGAAAAAGGCTGTTAATTATCTACTGCTTAACAAAAACGCTGTAGGATTTCATATATAATTTAAAGAATGAGTCTTTGTCCTTATTTATAAGGATAATAAGCACTTCACAGCTAGCCTTTGGTCAAATACTCAATTAACGTCTTGGCCAATAGAAAAACAAAGTTATTATTTTACAAACCCTCTTTTTAAAAAGCTTAGAACTCTTTCTTTCTATGCAGTAGAAACTCTAAACCGTAGTGTATGGTTTCTCATGCTTATTGTTATTTAATACTTTCAAAAGACATACTGTATGGTCCTGTCAAAACAAAAAGTCATGTTCCAGAATTTTCACAGATTTTTTTTTTTTTGAAAAGCCGACATCAGGACGTATTGTACACATGGAATGGAATCCACATGTAGCTGTGGCTAATTCACAGCCGGCTAGTCTGTTGGAGTCAGGGATCAGGCTCATCAGTACGCAGGAGAACTCCACTCTGCCTATTTCCGCACCCTGCTGCAATGTAAAGGCTTGTGCTGTCCATGGTGCTGAACCCCACTCCCTTTCCTCACTGCAAAGTCTACATTCACTCCTTCATCACTCTCCTTCCTCACACTCTTACACCACACATTAACACTGGAAACTTTCCCCCAGTTAGTTTCTTGAAAGTTGGTTGTTTTTTTATTTATTTGCTGAACAACCTCATCTGTAAGGCAGTTGGTAGAGTGAGGAACTGTTTGGCTCCTTTGACAGACCACAGAACAACTGTTTGGTCATGTGACCAGTCAGTTGAAGTCAGTCAAAAATCTGCAGATATTGCAGAAAATACACAGGTTTTATCTTAAATACCACATCAGTAATGATACAAAATTATTATTCATGGCTACTGTAATGATAAAACAACTTTCTCACACTTGGAATGTCCCTTGTATTTTGTCTTACTTCATCCTGGTTCATTAAAAGCTTCACGTTGGTGATTAGTTTTAGTCCAGTCTTAGTCTACCGTAAAATGTTAATCTCCCTTTGGTGACTCTTTTCCTTCTCACACAGTTCTGATGCTGATTACAGTTTCCTGACACAGTTTTTCACTGAACGTGCTGATGGAACAATGTGCCCTTATAGAGAGGTATGTTTCCTTTACCTTCCTCAGCATGACAACAAAGATGAGTGATCTTGAATGTGTGTCATGTTTACTTTGAGAAATATTGCACTGTTACCGTTATGGAGTTTTCTGAAGGTCATTAAATGAATGAGTCATTTAATGAAGGTCAGTTTCACTGATGGAGGTCTGGAATTCAAATCAGTAATGAGTCTGATGAAACACACCTGCCAATAATGATGCCACAACAACAGCTGGGTCAAGTGGGAGCAGTCAAGGTGATTCCACTGTTAGATGGTCACAAACTGAAAAAGAAATATCTGAGAACAAAAGTCATCGGGTTTCTGCCTGAGATGATGACATGGGATTACAAAGGGGCAAATATATAATTTCTTTCAAATGGAGTCGTTGCTGGTAT